ACATATTGCCTCCAACAATCTGGCTCCTGATTTTACCCAGCTGAGAAGGATGGAAGGCTGAATCAACCTTGATCTAGTCAGGATTGAACTACTGGCAGTTGGCAGAATTAGCCTGAAATACTGCATTCTAACCACTCCACCACCATGGCTCTTAATGCACAGATGGCTGCACTAACTGTTTCAAGGACCCTGTTCATCTCCTCAGGGTCAACAGGTTCCATCTTTTCCCAAATAACCTAGTGAGATCATACCAATCACTTCATCAGACTGCATAACTGGAATCATAGTGAATCCAAGTGACTTTATCCAACAGATACCTTGAACAGTCCTCATAGCAGTCCTTCAGCTGGTTCTCTGAACTATATTCTTCCCCTTACAGAGATTAAGTCACCTTAAGCTTTTTATTAGTTGCTTGAATATTTTTGGCTTGGCTAGGTAAACGTTTGTTCATTATTTTGTAATCTTTAGATAGTCTTACTCTTAATAAAGCAATCGCTCTGAAATAATATTTGAGATAATGAGGAATTTTATTTTTTCCTCATATACAAGAGAGAAAACAAGCAAGTTTGTTTCTTCAAGCAAGAATTTGTTATACTGTACATGTCAAGTATAAATCCATCTTTCCAAAATGCCAAAAGGAAGATGGCATGTTCTTGAACAGAGATAACAGCCTTTCAATCTCATAAATTCTCATAGAAGCATCAAAATTAACATATCAGCATAAGAAATAATATTTAAAACAATTTCCATGCTATCCAGTGTATAATATATGAAGTTGAAACTAAAAATGCTATTTATTGAGATTGCAACTGTTTCCTCACTAAGTTGAGCAAAGGTACAATCTTATTTCCAATCATGTTTACTTCTCTAAAGGCAGAAAGTTGAAAAGCTGTAAAGTTATAAAGCTGAAGGGAGGCATAAGAATTAATACAAGATTTAATTGTTTCCTATCAACTCCTTTAATATTTGCCTGGAGGAGGTTGGATTTAATGCTTGTAAATGAAATTTTCTCCTCCTCCTCCTCCTCCTTCTTCTTTTTTTTTTTTTTTTTTGATTTATGGTAACATTAGTGATCTCTGATGCTCTTTAGTTGCAATGCTCAATCTACTTTGGAAAAGCCACTAGTTGGCTGCTACAAAGATGTAAAAATAGTTGCTCCATAAATTGGACCAGAGTTCAAAAGGTGAATATTTGATATAACTTTGTTGCATTAAATTGAGAAATACTTTTCAAATAGCATTATTCACAGCAGGTTTTCCAGTCTTGCACTGTGCTGCTTTCTCTTTCATTAGAGGACATTCCAGTGATAAAATTACAGTATGGTGAAGTATGGATAGACCCTTCCAGGATCTGCATAGCTAATATTCTGAAAATATTATAATTATGTCACTATGTTTCTTGCACTTTCCTCTCCAGAACATTTTCTTTTAGTTTCTGTATTTGCAAACTCACAATCTATCATTCTTGAGATATTTTAATATCCAAAGTCATTTAAGTATGGGGAACAAGTATTGTGGGGTGATTATGAGAATAAGCTGTAGAATCTATCTCAGTAATAAAATTGTCACATGATCTTTTATTTTCACTCAGCCATAAACTAGCTAGTTGATCTTTTTATGGATTTCTTTTCTTATAATTTCTTAAGAAAATATCTCCATAAATACTATTAAACAATTGCAACAATAATATTTTGCTCCGTGTGCCTGCAATATTGTATCTGCTTAGCCGAGAGTAACTTATACTTAATTTGTTTTTGAATAAATAATTATAGGTTAGAGAGAGGGGAAAAAATGTAAGTTGCAGCATCACGGTTCTTTCTTTTCATGATCATTTTCCTCCTTAAATGTTTAAGACTTATATTTTGAATAAGAAGTTAATAAGCATATAGACGTTAGTGAAGAAATTACTAATGGAGCAGAATAAATAATATCCTTGCGATTGACAGGTTGTAGTCCAACTTTAGCCAACAAATCATATCCAGATGGGTTGGGATTTCAATTTATTACACTTTCGTGGCTAAACTGATATATGTTTAAATGGGGTGTAAAATCTACTATAATTTCAGGCTTGTTGTAGGATTTGACAGGATATCATTAAGTTTATTTACCTTTTTTACTATTGCAATCTGATGCTTATTTTTTTAATGCAGAAGGACAGGTTGAAGATCTGAGGTTTGTCCTCGGTAGATTATGAAGACAGACGTGGCAACTTCTTTTTGCCCATGATGGCAGTATTCGTGTTCTCAAATCCAAAATTTAGGTACTTCTCCAGATTTGAGGGCCTTGTAAAAAAGCGAGGAAGGCTCTGTATCCTCTGTCTGGATCATACATACTGTACTCAATGCCATCTCATAATTAATACTGACTTTCCAGTGTTGAAATAAAGTTCAGCTGCCCATTGTGTCATCTTCCCTATGCAAAAGGAAGGTGGGTGCATTTTCATCCTACATCTTTGGAGACAATATTTTTTTCCAGTCAGTTTGATTTGTCATGCTATGTATATACAAACTTGTTTTCTATACATATATCAGAAAAAGTGGGTGCTAATCTGCATAGGGTTACAGCATAATAAGTGTATATTAAACCTAAAGAACTCCAGGACTCTTGCCCAGTAAATGTAAGGAATAAGATGCTATTTCTATCTTTAATCATTCCGGTTGTATTTACTCTTAGAATTTCTGACAAAAGACAACAAGGGCTACATCTTGTGTGCTTCTTAATGAACTTATAAATTGAATACTATATGCTATACATATTGCTGCAAAGTTTTGGATTACTAAGAGTAAATTCCTGTGTAATATTCATATATCATTTTCAAAAACCAAATCATCTAAAATCCTCAGTAGCCTTCTATAAATTTTGTTTTTCCCCCTACCTGTTTCTTTATATGACATAAACATCCATTTTTAAAAGAACTATAGAGGGAATTTCCTAGCAGCAAAGTCCCTTGAGCATTAATTATGCTGCTTGCCAGGATATACAGGATGATTTGTTGGTCTTTGGAAGGAATGAGTACAGAAAAAAAAATACTCCTGCCTTCATAGAACTGTAAAGAGATACATATAAAGGGAAAGCTACTGTCAATATCCTTTCTGCTCTATATTGAAAAAAACACTTAAGCCCTAATACCGCACTACTGAATAGCAAAGTATACAGAAAGAGTAGTAAAAGCAAAGACCAAAAACAAGAAACACATTGAGCACTTTCAACTTGCTCTAGTTCTCTTAATAATTGCCGTTTTCTTAAGCCCTAGACATTCATCTAGATTTCAAACAAAAATATATTCATTCTACAATTTGGCTGAATTTACTTAATTGTCTGCAATTGTTTCAATTCTATGAATTCCTATTTGAGATGCATGTTTATTGTAACCATAAGACTATAAAATCTTCTACTGCTTCTGCTTCTGCATCTCATTCAAAGACTTAAGTTTGAACCTAGGCCATGAGCAAGTTTTTTTCCCAACTTCATAGCAATTAACAAATTAAAAGCGTACTATTGAGCATGCCTGCAATTGTCACAAGCAGGAAGATGGTAAGTATTTTTCAGTAATCAGCAAGATTGTTTTTCTACCTAGTGTTTTCCTGCAAACTCAAGAATTTGTTTTTTTCACATCAACCAAGCATTGATCCATTAGTTGTGACAGGAATTGATCAACTGGCTTGTTGCCCATGCCTGAAGTCACGAGTTGAGAGTGGCAACACAAAAGTAACTAGCCATTTAACCAATAGGCAGGGAGAAATCTGCTATCTCTTATCTAGAAGATGGTGAAACAAAAGTTGCAGAGTGAAGAAATCTACTTGACACCGAGTTTGGAAACAGACAAATATAAGATCTGACACCTCAGTTATCCAACAAGCCATTTAAAGCCATAATTTAGAGAAGTAGGAGAAATATTATCTGAACTGACCTATTTTGCAAATCACCCATTGGGGCAGGTAACTTTTTTTCACTACAGTACCTTGATAAAAATTCCAAACATTCTAGGATACTAGGGATTGGACTAGATGATCTACAAGGTCCCTTCCAACTCTGTTAATCTAATATAATTTAAAGGATCATAGTCCATTTATGGTAATCCAGCAATCTGATTGCAAAAACAGAATTGACATATGTCTTTTAAGAATATGACATGCATCACAGCATATGCTTTGACAAAACAGAGCTAATTCTATCAGATGTCATGACCTCTATCCAGCATGACTGAATGTGTGCACGTTTTTAAATGACAAATGAAAAATAAGATTTTTTTTCTTACCAAAGCCAGTAACATCTTTCAAATAAAATCCAATTTAAAATTTAAAGAAAGTAAGAGATTATATAACCAATTGGCTAAATATTGCTGAAGTACAATTGCTGCATCTCTCCCGATTGGCTATGGTGGCTAGGTGCTAAAATTGTAATTTAATATCATCTGTGAGACTACTAATTCCACACTTCTGAAAAGAATCTTAGTAGCATTACTTGTCTCCTCCAAATTAGATCCTGAAGAATTAGGAGCAAAATCTTATTGCATAAATTCACTTGTGAATTTGAACGCTGATGATAAAAATGTTGGGAGGAAAATAGCTGGTAATTTTATGTTAACAGATTGCCAGTAGAATTTGTAATTCTTTACTCCTCTGTATCTGAAAGAAATCCAAGACTCTTCTCACCACCATCATCCACCCATGCTGAACTTTTAATAGTAGATTTTTTTTTCACCATAGTATTCAAATTATAGAATTCCCTGTTTATTAATTCATCTGTAAATATTTCAGTTCTAACAGGCTTTTTCAGTCTGATTGGAAGGTCATTACATTTGTCAATACTGTTGCTGGTGAGCATACTTTTTGTGATAATTGTGCCATTCTGATGTTAGCAGTCTTAGACATTATTATTAAAACACATATGTACCTTCATACCCCTTTTTTCTTAACAAATCTAAGAAAGAATTCTGCTGGAATAGGGGAAAATGTATCTTGGATTCAGTGTAAACAACAAGAAGGGAGACTTCATGAATTACTTTTAAAAATTCTTTTTTAATGAAGAAATAATTCCATTCCAAAATATAGACACACAATTAAATAGTTTAATCACTTCAAAATATGTCCCCAATAGGCTTAACACACGCGCACACACACAAAACAATACTTAACAGCAATACAAAAAACCCCCATACAATAATAGTTCTGTTTACAATACCAATGGATAATGTAAAATTTGCAGTGTGTCCGTTCAGACTGGTGTGAAATAACAGTAGTTAAAAACATTAGACAGTTAGTAGCTTCAAGATGTAATTCTTCATACTTTTTGGTTCACAGATAAATTCCTGTCCTGTCATTCAAGGCTCTGGCACTGAATTGAACCAATCTAACTGCTGCAACCCGCAGCTGTGGTATTTACAAGATATATCTACAGCAATTCCAAGGAACTCATAAGAATGGAGGAAAGTGGCTAAAGTAAAAGGCAGACATCTGTGCTAAATAATGATGCAACATTTTGTCTCATGCATATAAGAAAATACATATTATCACAACAAAGGCCACACACCTTTTAATGCAGTTTTAAAGTTAACATTACTACTTACAGAGATTCTATCCTCTCTTTTCTTTCAACATTCAAGAATCCTGCTATCTTCACATTCTAATTCCTGCCTCTTAATGATCTTTCCATTAACAATCCACAAAGAGTTTTGGGCTATAGTAAACAGCCATGAAAAATGATTAATGGCTATTTCAACCATTCCAGCAACTTTGAAGTTTGCCATCCAAACATGTTTAGCAAACAAAGACTATATGGGCTAAAACATTGGCACATTTGGGACAAAACTTTCACTTAACTTCCTCTACGTGCTTGCTTCTTTGTGCATGGAAAAATATGTCTGTAACACTAGCTTTGGGCCTGGATTCCTTGGGCATGCAAGTTGATGTACATCTGAATAAGGACATCCACATAATATCCTATTCCATTAGGTCTTATAACATCCTAGATAAAATACAGAAACAGGTAATCTGATTTAAGGCCTTTGCTAGTGGAGTTTTATGCAAGCATATCTTTATTCAAATGTTATACTCACACATTGGCTAATGGCCCAGGAGGTTGAGTTGCTGTGTTAGATGACAATACTTTTGCTTCCAGATGCTAGATAGAAATCAAGGGAAAGTATTGTCCATACTGAGCCACTGTCATCTTAACACTGGTTGATGTAGCAAATTTAGATTTTGGAGGCAAATGAAAAAGTGCTTTAACTTGGACTTCCAGAGTATAAGAGGCCACCTAGAGCTCTGCTTTGGGGAATCTGTGCTGAAACCAGACTGAAAAAATGGTGCATATGTTGTGATGACAATAAGTGTTCCACAGATTTTCCAAAGTTTAGACTCATGCATGAGCTTTACATGCAATATGAGTGTGTAAATTAAGGACTATATCAGAGAAACAATCACTATTCTAACTGTAGGTATCTAGCTGGATTTAGATCTTTTCAATAACATTTTGCTTCTCTTTAGGAAATACTTGGCTGGAGTCCTGAGCTGTCAGCAAGAATTGTCAATATACTGTCCAGTACTAACTGATGTGTGCTAGGCACTAGTAGAGAGTAACCAGTTCCTGAGAGAAGGGCATAGGAGAGGTAAGTTGTCAAAAGTTATGTATCCACCATGTGAAGATGGTAGACACTACAGGAGTAAAGAGTAATTATTGCGAAAGAGGGGTTTCTGGGGTGTCTCTATGTAAACATTTTTAAAAATTATTTTCTGCAGTTCTCTAAATTCTGTGATTTGACTACATAGAGACAATGTTGAGAAAGACACAAGAAGGAAGATGTCAGGAATTATTTTGTGTATGAGTGAGAAAGTACCTAGAGATATTTAATTCATACATCTTTGATCTGAAGCATGTCCCTTGTAGAATTAACAGAAAGATTCAGCTTTTAATTTGGACAATACAATATATAAGCACGTTTAAGGAGTTATTATTCTTTTAACAATAACTCTGGATTTATATATTTGAGCTTTTTTAAATTCATGCTTACTGTTAGAGTTGTTGCATCATTAATAAAATATCGGCCTTACTTAACAATTTCTAAACCATTTGCTGTTTTTCTTGGGGCTAAAATTTGCTTGTAACTAATTTACTATATAGGGAAAATAAGATTGCAAAGTATCTTTTCCAAATATAATCCTCAGGGGAGCAGCCTCCTGTCTTATTATTTTTTAAATAGCATATTAAGATTTACTCAAAAGAGATACTGCTGTAATTACATAACATATTCTTTTTTTCTTTTTAGAAAGGACACACCTCCCCTCCATGTGCTTTTCATATTTAGCAGATTACCCCATTCAGCCCCTGAAGAAAGTCTCTCTACTCATTCCAGGAGTGTCCAGAGGGTAAGATTAAAAAAAGGCAAGATGGCAGCCATGATAATGTGATAAAATCTCTGCCTAGTTATGTACATTGCAAGATGTACATGGCAGCCATCTTTATTTTTTGACAATACCCTGCAGATACCCCTGGCCCATTTCCAAGAATGCACACAAAACAACTGGTGGTTGACTAAGGCAATGCACATTCAAAAATAAGAAAAGAAAGTAATTGCAAGCAATCTTTTAAAGCCTGTACATTTAAAGCTGAAGGCCTCAACCAACAAGATATGAAAGATGGAGATAATGTGAAAGAAAGTTCTAAAACTGCAACAAAATAATACAATGAAGATTATACAATTAGTTTAGGGATTTTATGGCACCTGTGGTTTATAAACAGCTTTAGTAACGAGTATTTCAAAACATAGTTCACAGTTTTAAGAAGATCTGTACTGATTTTAAAAACTAGATTCTATATAATTTGAATGTTGTCTTTTGTATATGATTTCTATTTGGAAAGAAAATATTTACACTAACTTCTATGGCTGATTTGTTAGATTATATTTTGAAAGAAAACATTCGTTAAGTTACGTAGTAGCCCTAAGTCATAGAGATACTTCTTAGTGCATTTTGTACAAGTTTGTTTTTAAATTTTCATTTATTTATTTTGCAGAAATATTAAAAACAAATTGCTATCCAAAGATGCAATATTGTAATATCAACATGTGTGCAATTCCTAGTAATATCTGTGAGAATTCTGCAAGTGTAGTTGGGTTCAGTATTGCAACTATAGTTCATTTTTGGGCTATAAATATGTACACACAGGAGTATATTTATTCAACGATAAATGCATCATTATACTTTTAAAATTCCCTCCATGGAAAAACAATGTACAGTGTGTAGGAAAGTGTTCTAAAACCTCAAATTATTCGGAAATCAAACTCCTAATATAAACAGTACTGTCATTGTAAACTGAACAGGTTTAAAAGTATGTGCAAAGGGTTTGTATTTTGTTAGTACAGCCAGTGTTCTTCATCAATAATAAGCCATGTTACATATGATGTAGCTGATATAATTTAGCTTTAAATAAAAATCATGTTTTTTTAATCTTCAAAAATAAAACACCTACAAACTAGAACTTGGCAAACAAAATAATTGTGCTACAGTCTGGAGACCTAGTTGGTTAGAGAGGCTGCACTTGATTTTTCACTTCTTCGCTGAAGCTGGCAGCTAGGCTATCTTTGTCATTAGTCGGAGTGTTGTCCTCTTCTTCTTCCTTTTCCTCCTTCTCTTTCCCCTCCTCAGTTCTTACATCACTTTCATTATCCATTTGACTGCAGCTTTCCTGTCAAGAAACGTTTTAATACTATTTATCACATTTCAAAGAAACATACCAGCCCTATTTAGGCAGTGTGCAAATGTGAAATACTCACCATGTGAACATTCCTGATAAGCCCACCCATCACTGTTACTCGGATTAGGCTAGCTTCCTGTAGACACCTGATTGGACTTGTCTTAGTCACATTTTACTCTGCTCTTTACTCTTACATTTTCAGCTCTGCATATGCTAGCTTTCAGGATAGGTGTAGACTTTCTATTCTGAATGCACAATTAAGCATGATTGGTAGGAGAGTAGAGTTCCTGAAAAGATTTGTGTGATGACTATTCCAATTCATATAATACCTGAATAATATCATTAAAATTATGTGTGCTATGAGTGAATCTTGACTCCTGATGTGCATTTTTTTAGCAGCATTTTTCAGAAGTGGTTTGCCATTGTCTTCTTTTTAGCACAGAGAGAGAGTAGCTTATCCAAAATTACCCAGCTGGCTTTGTATTTAAGGCAGGATTAGAATGGTCTTCTAATTTCTCATCTCTTTAACCCTTATCCCAAAATAGCTCTATATCAGTGATGGCTAACCTTTTCGCCATCGTGTGCCAAAAGTGGGGGGAGGGAGGAGTGTGTGAGGGTCGCTCGTGCGTGTGCCCACACCCACAATTCTATGCGACCCACCCCCCGCGTGTGCGTGCTCAATCCCCCCCCCTGCGCTCTCCCCACTTTTGGCATGTGATAGGACCGTTTTTCGCTCTCCCAGGCTCCAGAGCCTTTCTAGGAGGCTGGGGAGGGTGCAAACTGTCTTCCCCACCCCACTGAAGGCCCTCCCGAGGCCGGAAAAGGCCCGTTTGCCAACTTCCGGTCCCACCAGAAGGCCTGTTTTTCATTCTCCCCAGGCTCCAGAGCCTTTCTAGGAGGCTGGGGAGGGTGCAAACTGTCTTCCCCACCCCACTGAAGGCCCTCCGGAGGCCGGAAAAGGCCCGTTTGCCAACTTCCGGTCCTACCAGAAGGCCCGTTTTTCACTCTCCCCAGGCTCCAGAGCCTTTCTAGGAGGCTGGGGAGGGTGAAAACTGCCTTCCCCACCCCACTGAAGGCCTTCCGGAGGCCGGAAAAGGCCCGTTTGCCAACTTCCGGTCCCACCAGAAGGCCCGTTTTTCACTCTCCCCAGGCTCCAGAGCCTTTCTAGGAGGCTGGGGAGGGTGAAAATGGTCTTCTCCACCACCCCCCGGAGGCCTTCTGGAGGCTAGAAACAGCCTTTTTCCTGACTTCCGGTGGGCCCAAAAGGCCCGAAAATCAGCTGGCCAGCACACACATGCACGCCAGAGCTGAGCTCGTGTGCCCACCAATATGGCTTCACGTGCCACCTGTGGCACGCGTGCCATAGGTTCGCCATCATGACTCTATATCATCAAATTGGTATATTCATCATACCTATTAGCAAGTGAACAAAAATCTATCAGCTCTACAGTAATACCGTATTCTATTGCACACATGTACAGTATATAGAGCACATGCACATTTTTGGCAACATTTCCCGATTCTTTAAAGATATCCACAAACAATGAATGGTAATTGAACAGCAAAATGTTAACAGTACATATAAATTATGCTAGCTAGATTTTCTTTGTTTAGGAAGGACATCATTCGAGAAAAGATGCATCATGTCATGAATTAAACTTAGGCCCCAAAAGGTGTTCCATCTGAGAAAGTTGCTCCATAAATATTGTGATCAATAAAGTTGAAAGCCATGGGAAGATGTAAAAGTAATAGTAGGACAAAAGTCATATTATCCATCTAGAAAATATAATTATGGCTTTAGAATTTAAATCTTGGAAACTAGCCTTCCTCAATATTGCTAGTACTAGATTACAGAACCACTTCCAGTACATGCTGGTTGAGAAATTTGGGATAATATTAATACGGTAATATATCTGGAAAATATCAGGTTGGGGATATTTTTTATATGACAAAACTCCAAGCATTATTAATAAAAATATAAAAACTTAAGTAGCTTCTAAACAAGGGATGGGAACAAGAATAGGTGTCTTGTGTGGCTTGGTGATATAATTTGGGACAGAGACAAAATTGAAGCTCACTCCATACGATAAGTAGCTCCTGGGAGAAAGCTGCCATGAAAAATTCTGGCCTTTAAAAACTATACTAATTTAGTAGAATCTGAAAAATATTTATAGTTCATTTATGTGAGATTAAGTATTTTTTAAATAATCTTACACTTGCATTGAAGGCTCTTCCACAGCATTTAAAAAGGACTAGAATACTAGAATTCAACCTTCTGTGCTAATGTAAAATAAAGTATTAATATTCAAAATTACTCATTGTTTTTTAACAAACTCAAAAGCATTTTCATCTGGTAATTCTTTGAATGGCTAACTTCTTAGATAGCACTTCATAATTTTTAACACATGTGTTGTTTAAAACAAATTAGAAACACTTGAATACCATTGACACTGACAAAATCATGATCCATCACTTGCAAAGGCTATTTTCTTGGAACAGCTTACACCCTGCAACAGTACATTTAGCACTGTCAAACATCATCTGCCTATCGCAGGTCTTTGGGAAGGGCTTGATAGGTGAACAAAGATGTCAAATCCAATCTAAACATCTGGCTGGTTCTGTGACCATCCATAATAATATTGGTTCAAAACATTCTTATGCTGTGTTGCAAAATATTGCTTTGAAAAGTGTACACTTTTATGATAACCCACATGCAGCTCATTTGCATCCAGAAAGCAGATTTATAAGCTAAATCAGTAAATTCTAGTTTGGGGAATTATGTTTCATATCATTCTTTTCAAAGATGGTATTCATTCCATCCAGTAGCATTTCATATTAACAGGCCCCAAAAAACCACATAACCTGCAATCCTCTCAATAGTTTTCCCACTGCTACACAATAGGAACATATTCTCATTTGACAATTAGAGTTAGAATTGCAAAATGATTACAGTATATTATAATGTATTGGTGAAGAGAAAAATGTCATCTTCTTTGCCTCCCCCCTCCCCCCCCCCGCACTCCAATCAGCATAATTACTGAATGAAAGTGATTGATGTCGGTTTTAAACCAACTTAAAACTTACTTGAGAGGAGAGTGATACAAGGATGGTTACTCATCCTTGTAAACTGACCTGTAAAAAAAAAAGAAAGTGAAAACAGAAAATGTGAGCAGCCAGATCAGTGCACCATTCTATAGACAATGGGACTCATGAGGAGTGAGAGGTGTCTTATGGGCATGCAAGAATAGCACACACCAAATGAAGAGGTTAGCATGCAAGAAGAAACTGTGAGAAGGTTGTTGCTGCAGAAAATGCTAGAAAGGATGAAGATTCAATTTGTTCTTTTGAATGGAAATGGCATTTGCTGCAAGGCCCAACAAAATAAAGAGAAAGAAGATTGTCTTGTAACTCTTATTCCTAAATACTTTAGGCAGTTATGGGCAATCATTTCTCATTTGTATTTGTAACTTTCAATATACTCTTTTAAAGGATATGTACAAATGGTCCTCAAACTACAATTTTTCAACAGCATTTAGAAGCACTTCCTAAGATAGAGGTAATTTGCTCATTAATCAGTATTCTTTACATATAGTGAACAGAAAACACATTCTTATATTGTTCAGTGCTTTAATCTCTTTAATATTTCTTGTACATGTAATCCATATTCCCAATAAATAAGCATAATATAGGCAGATTATCTATTGGTTTACTTAGAAGTGACATTTCAACAAACTATGCCAAGAAATTTAGACTTTAGACTGATATCTATTATGCCAAAATTATGGCAGGCAGAGATTGCTATCTTTTTAAATTACAAGAAAATTTTAAAATACTAGAAAATTACTAGAAAAAAATCTTTTGCTGCTTGGATCCACACACATACTATGCTGATACTTTATGACGTCCTAAGGTCTTGAGAAGATCTTGGTGAATATGATGGCTAGTAGCAGCTAAAGACTTTGCAGCTTTGATTACACACTGTTGTTCATATATTTGTGAAATAGTCTGTATAACTGCATTAGAGCTATCAGTGCTATCAGTGACTTCTACACTGTGCTATCAGTGACTTCTACACAGTTTTACCACTGTCAGTATCTGATGTAGTTTCTAGGGACTTTGTGAACTATATCACTGGGTTTTTTATAAAGTCTTTGCCCACGTTGAGAGAGCATAAGTTCCTACTATTATCAATGTACACTAGTGGCAGTTCTCTTTAGTGGGCCATAAAATTGGACTAACCACCTTTGCTTATTTGCATGGAGGTAAGTAGGTTTTAATTTAAAATTATTTATTTTGCTGAAGAAAAGACACTATATTTGAGATGATTTTGAATAAGATTAAAGTTCTACCTTTGGAGATTAAGTCTTGATGGCTCATTCACACATGCAAATTACCACTTCCTTTCACAGTATAAAAATGCCAAGAATGCATGTGTGAACACCCACCTACTCTCAAAGTTATTTTGTGAAAATAGAACAGCACACTGTTGACAGAGTATGTTACTAGCATTTGTGATGCACCAACTAACAGCTTGTGAAGGTTAATGTCAGCCTATTAATTTCAGTACAAAAAGTACTTCCTGATTATTCACAGAAACATGAGTGCATCTCACTATTATTTGGAATCTACACCCTTATCACTATATTCTTCCAAAAGAAATAAAATCTAGGACAGTGAAATTTCTTTCAGCTACGTAATTGTGTTGAGTTCTTATCTTATTTTTACCTGATAAGCTTCATCTTGCAGTTTCTGCTTCAAATACTCCTCCATCTTGAGTTCATTCTCTAGTTGGCGGACAGAATCATTTTCATAGTTCTCATCATCAGCTCTAACGTAAGAATCTCCATCCTCTGTAACCCTAAACACAATTATTAATAAATAGGGTTGTGCAATTACTGCCTGACCTACTTCGTACTCAGATGTGAAAGTGGTAAATTCCATCTTATGTTAGTCTAAATGTCAGGCTTCGATGCTATCTCAAAATAAATGAACTTCCAAACTGCCAATCTTTAAGGAAATTTTCTCTTTATTCGAATACAGCAACCGGATCCTGGCTCTTTCGCGGTCTTTGCCCCCCAATCCCTCCCTTTCCGATCCCCAATTCTCTGCTTCTCATTGGCTATCTTCCAAGTCACTCTCCTGATTCCTTTTCCCGTCAGTTCACAGGAATGTTTCCCCCCTCTTCATCTCCAAGGAGACCGAAACTTCAAAGGGATTTAGCAGGCAAAAGTTCAGCCTTCATCCTCCCTTTTCTATGTCAGCGCTGAGACGCTGACATCAAGTTTGCAGAAGTGATGGTTGGCAGAGTATACAGCCCATACCAAGTCATTTATATTGTGGAATGTGAGTTTAGAAAAATGCAGTACCCTTTTTCATAATTTAACTTTTGTAGAACAGATTGCCTAGAAGGGCTTTTTTGAAAATCAGTATAGAATGAAAGTCAAGGCACTATGAAGATTCAGGAATATGGTAGGTAGGTATACTGGCTTTTGTGAGTTCCCATAGAGTGAATTCTGATGCTGATTGTGATTTTATACCAATTATAGTAACTTTCATATGTTGTATATTATTTCTTAACTTTCTATTGTTTTTACTTTTATGAGCCTCTCAGAATGGCTTAGATAAGATGGGCAGCCATATAAATCAATTAAATAATAATAGTAATACACAGAACTCTGTATTTCAGAAAAGGATGAATTATTTGGTGGACTACCAGTTTAGTATGTTGTGGTGAATACCAGGATGTTTGGTGCCCAGAACTGAGAATTACACCCTTTTACATCCTGTAAAAGCACCTCTTAATATTTTATCTGAAAAAACATGCAGAACAAACTCATCTGAATCATGTTGATATCTGAAGCAATGATTTCAACAGATACCTGAATTTCATTTGGTCTTTTGCTATAATGTTCCGCTTTGGATCAAGATCTATTCAAGATATCTCCATCTTATAATAAGATGTCTGAGTGGGTGGGTGTAATTATAGGATCATCACTATGTAACTTTGTACACAGATATATCATACACTTAGTTCCTAAATTTCCATCTAAAGCAGTACCCTGATCTTCAGCAGAAAACAGTCCATTCTTCTCAAAGGAAATAAAAAACTGCACCCAATTTTGGCATACTTTCTGAAATGCCCCTTTGAATGGATTCAAATGATTTTCCTAAAAGAGACTTGGCTGTTCTTTGGTATATATTAATTATCAACAACTTTCATCTGGAGTTCAAATATAAAAATAATTGCAAATTGTTTTTCTCACCAAAATTTTATGAGAGTCTTATATTGTAGTTCAAAAGTCACCCTTTATTGCTAACCTTGGCTTAATCTTTAATTTAAAAAGCATCTCAATATTAAATGGAAACTTAATTTCTCAAGCTTTGAGTAAAGACAAGAAAAAGAAATCAAAGAGAAGGCAAAACAGGATGGAGTACCCACAGGTCACTGCGAATGGTTCCAGTAGCAGCTACATTGTGAAGATATCCTGGCTTCCGGGCATGGATTTGTGCCAGAAAAGCCTTTTCAGAAGTTGGTGATGGAACAAGATCATCAAAATGAGTCCGACCAAACTCTGAATCCACATTACTTTCTGTCTCACTTCCAACTTCTGTATGAAGAAATAGGTTGGTATGATAATTATATCTTTCTTTCCTATTTCTAGCATGCTTCTCTCCTGTTTTTTATTTTTAGCATACTGTACATTGCCATCTTATATTGCTAAAGAAACACCATATTGTCTACATTAAAAACACATGGAGAGCAACTTTCACTTTTGTACAGTTCAAACTTGCTATTTATTACAACTTGCCATGCACAGACAAGTAAAACTTTGATGCCAAGTGGGGTGACTCAGTGTACCCTGTATCCCTAAATTAATCAGGGAATATGCTAATGACCGAGTAAGCTATTAAGCGAGGTATTAACAGTTAGTTACATCACTGGGTTGCCTCTTATTACAATACTGATGCATGAACCCTTGGACAGTGTTGTTGTATAAAGAAACTAAACAGCATTGACATCTGTTTAGCAAGAAGACAGAGTGCTGCATTTGAATTCATTTGAGTTAGTTCAAATATATTCAGTGAGATTTAATTTTTAAAATATTTCAGTAGCACCTGGCATTACATGAGCTACCAAGTCTGTTTTCTACATAAATATAATTATTAATAAGGCAAACAAACTCTTATTTAACAGCCATAAAAATTAACAAAAATCCCAGGCATTTAAAAAGCACTGGAAATACATAAATATCACAAATTAAAATGCTGGAATAAGAAGGAATCTTGTCCTAAAAAGACTGTAAATCAGTAGTTCAAACTGTTATCTAGTAGCTTAGAATATTTTGCGGCACATTTTTCTAGACTGCAGCTTGTCTTTAGACTATATATTAAACTAGTATAAAACACTTATGCTTTAAATCATCAGACCTGAGTTTAACTCTTTCACAAGAGAAGACATGGTATTGGTGATTGAATCAGCAGCTACCAACAAGTCATTTCTTAAATTTCTTCTTGTACCTAATCAATAGAAAAGCAAAGTGCAAAATATTGTTAGCAATGTTTTGAGCTTTTTGTGTACATTGTGTACATTTAACAAGGTAAAATAATAAATGATGCAAAAGTCAATTAAGAAAACAATTTAAAATTTATGAATTTTAAAAATCTGTTTAGGTAGTTTTTGTAGTAGCATAATCTTTGACTACCTGCACTACACATGTATAAATTTCTTTATAACCTCTGCAGAATAGATTGGCTTTAATAAAATTAATTCATTTGGAACTGGTATACTTTTTTTAGGTAGGTGGTGTAGTGCTCCTGTATCAAGATATAAGTACTGCCATATAGGGACAGCATCAGATGGGAGAAAGTTAGATTTGGTAGAATTTTGTCTGAATTCTGTGCCTTCTTCATGAAGAATTAAAGGGAAATTATTTATCAAATGAATTATGCTACAGTAGGTTCAGTGACCAGCCAACTGTTGTTTTTAGTTCTAAGATGTGTTTTGTGTTTTTGTAGGGATGTATGATGAAATTATAATAGACTGGGATAGACAGCATGAAAATGATACCCAACAGCTTGGCCTCTGAACTACTTGGAGCCATATTGTAATAGGACCTTGGAAGCCAATGTAGAAGCCTCCGGACTGTTGAGCAGCTGACATGAGGAACAATAACTACAAATCACAGCTTATAATAACACATTATAAGTAAGTACAATTGCTATTGTCTGAGAATAAAATGCATCTCTATGTACATTTGCCAATAAAAGATGCTGTGTCCATTGCAGATAATTTAGAAAGCGGGATATTATTGGAAGAATTTTTTTCTCCTATTATTTTATTATGCAGCAATAAAAACTAATGTTATTTTTTTCATTTCTGCTCTAGTCTGTCATGAATTGTCCTTGACAATTCATGACAGAATTACATTTACTTGTCCCAAACGTAAGCTTTGAATTACTTAATTATTTTAAGAAAAAACTCTTTTCAGAGAGTTTAGTAGATATGCAATGAGGAAAGAAGCTACGATTATCAATTTTTCAACAGAGGACGGTTTGAACCATTACCTTGGGCAAAGGCTTCTTGCACATCTCCTCCCACCCCTGTCAGAGAATCTTGTGGTGTGTGGGCTGGAGTTGAGCTGGCAGATGCAGATCTGATAGGCATTGGGATTGGCCGACTGATTGTGTGGCTGGGAGACGAACGAGGAGAGCCTGCCCCTTGGGTCTAGGGGGAAAAGGAAGCCATGAGTGGTTCAGGATGAAGTAGAGAAAAAGACATTTCTGTCCCACCATCTCCAATTATTTCTCTGCTATAGAAAATAATCAGAATATGCCCATGCTGGATAGTATTACCATCCTGATGGAAAATGAATGAATCAATACGCTGTTCGTTCCTAGAACCAAAAGCACATATGCTAAAACAGAGACAATCAGAAACATAGGGAAAAGGGATTGGTGAACTTGCCCAGGGTCCTAAAGATCACATTGACATTAATTTTAAATTGTCCCAGCTGAAATAGCAAAAATGTATTTCTTTTTGATGTTTTCTTTTTCCAGTTGTCCGAAAGTTAAACAACAACAACAACAACAAGTAGTAATTATGTTTGTCTTTCGTCTTAGTTACCTGGCAGCAGCAATGGAGAAAACTGTTGGACATCACTGTTGAGTCATGACAAAAGAGGTATTGAATTCTTTGGCTTATGTTATGTTAGAACTTAGAGGTAAAGTAATAAAACTGATAAAGTAAGTAAAGTTGTCATAGGGATGTTTTTATTACTTTCCATGGAACTGAGTATTTCTATGTCATCAATGGTCCCATATCTTATGTTGTGGGAATGGAAATTAAAATTTGGAGTCTCATGACCTCTGAACTAAAAAGCAGGCAATGCTCTATTCCAGGTATCCTACTCCATACAGATGAGAGATGTTCTGGTACATATTGGACAGAAGTCAGAATCCAGTTTAGAAATTGCCATTACTCTCTAACCCTAACCCTTTTTAATGTAGTTTAATCAAATTCACATAACAATTACCGTACTTGTTTCCTTATCATGCAGACACATTTAATGTATTTTCTTGCTGTATCTTATTCATATTATATGTAGGCAATGTAATCAGACAAATGTTTACATTTACTCTCTTCCCCCCATTCTTAATACATTTATTTATTTATTTAGCATATGGCATTCTTAATACAAAATATAGTTAACTGTTTTTTGTCTTTGGTATATAGCTCCCTCTGCTGGAAACTAGGATAACTCATAATACAGAATTTTGTAATCAGTAACCTACACAAAATACCTTAATAATTCTGAAATGTTTAGGGAACATCATTTTATGAATACAGGAAATAATAATAATACTATGCCATTTTTCAATTATTAATATTATGGCTTGTTGCACAGTCTATGTAGTTGACTGCAATGAACCATAATTACTGAAAAATGATTTGTTAAATGGCCAATACTTGAAAGATATAGAAGGAAAATCAGAAAGAAAAGCTGATTTAAAAAAAATCCTTCGTGGATTTGATTAATATCAGGAATGTTAAAGAAAGAAACTGAAGGCTTTATTTTAGCAGCTCAAAAAGACTAATTGTATGAACATGTAACAAACAACAGCAAATGTCACCTTTATAGTAAAAAGGATGAAACAATTGACCATTTGATTACTGCTGCAGCAAAATTTCACAGCCTACAAGTGATGTCATGACTGGATTTCTATAATTATTCACTGGAAACTTTGCTAGAGATTTGGATTTGAATGTAATAGACATTTCTGGGGCCATCAAATTGAAAAGGTTTTGGAAAATGAGCGGGTTAAGATTTTATGAGACTTTAAGAGCCAAACAAACAGGCATCTTACTCATAGCATGCCTAATATAATAGTTACTAAAAAGAAGAAAGTCTAGTTCACCAATGTTGTTAATCCAGGTAATGCTAGGATTGAGGAAAAAATAATTGAAAACAATTATGAAATATTAGGACTTGTAGATCAAAGTTGAACACTTATGGAAAAAGAAATTTGTTGTTATATCAATTGTGATTGGAGCCTTCAAAGTTATACCAAAAGGACTTCCTCAATATATGGAAATATTGAGTACTTCTCAAAAAACTCCACCCTGCTTGGAACAGTCCATATTCTTAGACTCTACCTTAATAATTCTTAGGGCCTTGGTTAGGAGTTGAATTATTAAGTTTCCACCAGTGTGAATCTAACTGTAGGCTCATGCATAATAATATCATATACCATGTAAATCAGTGGTGGGTTGCTCCCGGTTCTGTCCGGTTCTATAGAACCGGTAGTAAAACCGGCGGGAGGCTCGCCCACCTGCCATGACATCATCATGGGTCATCGCTCCTACTGCGAACCAGTAGTAAAGGTAAGTAGAACCCACCCCTGATGTAAATAGATTGATACATGATTTACATACCATGTTTTATACACTATTTATATATACCATATAATATATTGATACATAATATAAAACTTCTGTAATGTTATAAATGTTCGTCCTCTAAAAGAGTGTGCAAATAGGGGTAAAAATAGATGTTTCTCACAACACATGTAACTGACATAAAACTCTCTTCCTGTTGATTTTTTCACATACTTTTGTGACATAGCACCACAGTGCTTGCAAAGAGGCAGGTTTAAAGATAGAAAGAATAGAGTTTTGTATTGAAATTGACTAGAAACAGCTAAAGAAATGAGTATGCTTCAAATCTGTGAAAGTGATGCTGCAGTTGCGGTCTTGGAGGGATTCGGATTTCCCAACCGTCATGGGCATTGGAGGAGAATGCTAAGACGTGTAATGTCAACCCATGCAGAAATAAGACTGGGGAAAGCTGCTATGAGGGTAATATATACACAAGCAACTCTACAATATTGAAATGCACATATAAATGGAATGCCATTCATTTGCCATTTGATTTCTGCCACCAATAGTGGTATGTAAAACGTACTCAGAGCAGGTTATAATGAAATGTTGCTGAACATCTGTTCTTACTTGGATCAAAATGAAATAAAGAGTGGCTTAGCTTTATTCTTCCTGTAACAGGGTATTATATACTTTTTCTTCCAGTTCTACTTCTTCTGGTTGGCTGGATGTTTATTATGATTAGCTCCTTGGATATTTTTATGAAAGAGGTTATAGATAATTTAAAACAAAGAAAATAAAAAAACAAGTGTTGCCAGCTACATCATGACTGTATCTATATGAATTGATATCATTATCATGATATGAGCCATCATAGGCAGGAGTTACACCTTAAAGGACAACTCCCTCTTAAGATATCAATGATGGGGTTGATACTGGAGTTAAAACATACAAAATCATTAAGAAAGGGAGATACATGGTATTTCCCATGTTCCTTGAACACAATTTTTGAACTTGAAAACTAGTGTAAAACATTTCACCATAGCAATTGAATCATTCTGTGTTTAAATTAATGTAGATTTCAAGATGCTCTATAATTATTGCTGCATGCTTAAACAGAATACATTAAAGAACGTAAAACAGTATCATACTGACCTTAATATTTCATATGTTTATGAAACTGATTCTACTTTTCCCAATTCTTTTACTCCAAAAAATCACAACAATGCAATTATTTTACATTTTGTCATATTAAGCATTCTTTGCTCCAAAATACATTTTACCATGATATAATGAGAAGCAGATATTGACATAACAGTGACTCAGTGCTACTACTTTGTCTTTTGTCAATGAGTGTTGTGGTCAGCCAGCAGCCTGCAGACCTGGCAGCTGAGTTGGACAGTGAGGAGGCTGGGGAGGACAATGGGCCAGTCCTGGAGTCAGGAGAAGTCCTGGACAAGGGCTCTGCGCCGGAGGCAGAGATGGGGCCAGGGCCATCTGGTAGTGATGCACTGACTATGGAGCCTCCAGAGGTGGACAGCAGAGAGGCAGAGGAACAGGAGGAGCCTGTTCCTAGTGCATGCATGAGAAGAGCTGCCAGAAGGCAAGAGTAGCTGAAAAAAAAGGACATCTTGGGAGTAAGGCCAGAAGATGATTGGGCATTTTCATAAGGCTTAAAAGAGCAGCAATGAGCCGTTGGGTTCTTTGTAGAAAAGCAACATTGATTCCCGTGCTTCTTGTCAGTGTCTCTTGAACTTTGTGGGGTTGTTGCCAAAGACATCAAAGGTTGGTGATAAGGCCTACGGACTGGTTATTTAGAATTTTGTTTTGGACTATGCTGAGAATGAATTAATTCTCAGCTCTTTTAATAAAATAAGTTTGTTGAGGACTGAATTGTGTTTGGTAATCACTACTCGGGCCTTGGTCACAACAGTGAGCGACTATGCCTTCAATTGCACTGAACCAAAAATCAAAGTTCAGCTTTGTTATAATGGAAAACCTCTCACAGTACCTCTTGACCAATTATTATACTACGGTTTAGTAAACCAATGGAGTTAGTTATTCACTGATATTAATAAAATTACAAAGGGCATGCAAATTGTGTCTTAACAGAAAAAAAAAATCTTTACGAATCTATGTTTGAAATTTTTCTTGAATTATTAGCTTGCATGCGGTCTTGGGAAAGAAAAATGTGAACTGACTCTTAGACCAGATGGGACTTTGCCTGATTCTGTAAAGCTCTTATTGCCTTACTTTTTAGGAGTTATTACAAGGGATTTATTTGGAGAAATAAAATCAGGCACATCAAGTATATTTATCAGCAACATGAATATTCCTGCACTATAGGACTCATATACTACTATGGTTTGTATTGCATAGGGTTATTACTATTTAATGACAAAGTGCTTTTAAGTCAGTAGAAAGCCGTGCATATCTCTTACTTTTTTAGCAACATCTCAAGAAACTATTTCATTGAATATAATACCTTAATTCCTTAGATAAATGGTTAAAGGCATGCAATATACTAGTGTTGTTTAGTTGACCACAGCAATATACATATTTTATGTATGTGGATTTACAGCACACATTTGGATCACAAGAATACTACCGGTACCTATGTGTTAGTGACATTGACAGGCTAAATAACTTACTCCCTGCTTCAATTCTTCTTCCTAAAGAAAAATGGGATGACCATGAATTAGATTATTCTAACTTTAGAGAAGAAGATAAAAGAGAAGTGAACTGCAGTGCAACAAAACATAAGTGCTATTGCCAGCAACAGTGTGAAACTATTGCAATTTTGGGAGGAGGTGGCAACATAAATATTAACAGAAGAGAATAATAAATATTATCAATGCCTTCATGCCCTGTCGGTACAGTTATTAAACAGCTTTTTTTTTTTTTGTCTTAAAGCCATATTACTTTATGGGAGAAAAGTTGGGAGTTGCATGCTTGGAGCATAACCTAAAGGTACTATCTTGGGGCAGTACCTTTTCCTCATCAACTTCAGTCTCCATTACTCCTCTTTAACTTTTCATCTCTTTAATCATTTCTTTCTTACTTAGCAGATTCCAAGGGAAGGGACAGATTTTTTCCTGCTAGTAGTTTGGGCTGACTCCTTGCAAATAGCTCTGAAGACTAGGTTGAACTCTTTTAGATGCACATTTCCATTCTTCAAATATCTGCTTGACTACTTTCGGAACCAGTCTTCCGGATTCAGTATTTATGCCCTAGTAGCATTTATGTTTTCAATTTTTTTCCTGAAAATTCAGTGCCCAAAGAAAATTTACTCCAAATTTTAACATTCAGAGACATAATGAATATAAGATGCAGGAAAACTGCCTAATAGCCATTTCACTGAATAATTGCTGTGATTCTATTCTAAGAGTACCAGGATCAAATCCTCCTCATCTTCACAGTTTATCTGTTGTAAATCAAGGAGGGCTTTTACCAGTTTAAGCCAGGTCTAAAATGTTATATTTTCAAGAATTCCAAATAATTACACATAGCTACCTCTCAGCTTATTTTCTTCTCAGGAGCATTAATACTTTTATATTAATCATTGTTCAGATTACTTGTGCTGAAGAGATTGACAAAAGACATATAAATTAGATTCTTAACAGCATTTACTATCTTCAAGGAGCAAGGAGGTAATTCTTTATTTGCAGAAAAAGACCACCAAATAAACTCAATTCAGGCTGTTTTATGGTAACAATCAAGCTGCAGGTCACAGAGTAGTAAGATAATGCAATTATATGATTTTTATTTAGAGAACAGAAGCAAATGATTGCTGTAGCAAGCGAGGAACATATCTGACCACAAACCTCTCTGCCTATCTATAGAATGGAATGATGATACCATAATAATAGTGTACTGCCTTCCTTTTTTATTGCAATTTTATAGACCTATTTTGCTTAATACAGTGCTGGAACATTTTACCTTGAGTAGTTTCATGAGGCCTTCTAACTGAACCATGAGTTCTCTTCGGCTTTCCTGAAGAGCTGACATTCTCTGTTCCAACTCGTCTTTCCTCTGTCTAAACAGCAGGCAGTGAAGATGAAAGCAGTGCATAAACATGGAGCAGAAAGTCTGCATTTGCATCTGAGGTATATGACAATCTGAATATAAGAACTGTACTTGAATTCCTATGTGGACGGGTCTTCCAAACTTAGACATGAACTGGCGGGAACAACAGCAATAATTCTCTATTCATAAACATGTCAGCATGTTTTACTTTTACCATTCCTCTGACAGTATAGAGTGCCTTAGGGGGTCTTCATTAATTTTATCTCCACAAAAATAACTCTGCAAAATGGATTTGATACAAAGCCATCCAGTGAGCAAGAACTGTGTCTCCTTAGGCTAAGTCTAACATTTTAATCGTAATATATAGTCTTGCACTGGCTCTATGTCCATTTTAAACTGGACATTAAACTATGCATATTTCTTTTGGCTCTTTGAACAGAACAACTAGTTTTATTCAATCTTGGTGATAAACTAAGGATAACTCTTATTTGTATTCAAAATGTTAACGAAAGTAGCTCTACAAAAGGATGTGTGCTTTCATTGGAATATTAAAATAATGAATATTCTCGCTTGTAAGTTTAAAAATGGTAATTATTTCTTACCCAAAATAAACGGTTTTACACGGAATTAAACAAAACAGGCAAGAGGTGTTATGCTAAATGTGACATATCTCTACCTCCCCATATTTCATTCGCATATTTACCTCAGGAGGCGAAGTTCTGCCAGGAGCGTAGGGTTTTGTGCTGCCTTTTCTGGTGTGGTCTGAGATGCCTGCTCATGTTCAAGCCGCAGCCTGTGAATCTCTTGTAAGATTTCTCTGGCATAGGAAGAGAGAAAATTAAAAAACAGTGATAAGTATGATTTTTTTTCCCATGAGAAAAGTTGTTTAACACAGAACATTGCAAATAATGTTAACTAATTTGAGATATTTATGGATAAACTTCTGGATCTTAGCAAGCAATTCATAGCAGAGAAGCTTTTAAACGTTTAAAGCTGCTTTTTTGACAACCAACCCTTTGCCCTCCATCTGGGAACTCTTCAAAAATTGCCACAGATGTAATTCAAAGAAGTTGCTGCCCGAGAAAAACACTGCAAAAATTGATCAGAACTAGGGCTGTCAATCACCAGCACACGCATTAGAACAGGGGTCCTCAAACTTGGCAGCTTTAAGACTTGTGGACTTCAACTCCCTGGCTGGAGAATTCTGGGAGTTGAAGTCCACAAGTCTTAAAGCTGCCAAGTTTGAAGACCTCTGCATTAGTCACTTCACAAGGCTGAAAGATTAACCATTATAAGATAAAAATGGCTGGCTTCATGCCTAATATGGCACTAGATCTCATGGTTTCTAAACTGGTGCCTTAACCACTATAGTAAACTGGTTTTATTGTAATATTAGCATATTATTTTTCCTTCAACACTGCTATTTTCTTTCTTTCTCTCACCTTATTAAATCATTTGTTTTCTGAAGAAAAGAGATGACAGATTTCTATCACAAAAATCTTAAATGTATATTTTAAAATACTAAGTGTAATAATGTTATGGCAAAGAAAACAAATAAACTCTTCTGTATGATGGTCACCTGTAATGTATCTGTGGGTTTCCTTATATGCAATGTTGTGAATTTTGCTTTGATATCAACTATATATGCAATATGTTTTGTCCACAGACATACATTTGGATTAATGTAGGTTTTGGGACTTTACCTGTTCTTATTTTCAAGTTCTGCAATAAGCTGTCGTTGTTGCTTATTTGCATCAATAGAGAATGAAATATCTGGAGTGCCTCTTTGTTGTGGTTGCTGTTGTGGCTGCTGTAAAACAGATTGAACATGTTACCACATATATATGTAAATAAATATTATTTAAAGGAAGAAAACGGTAGTATTTTTCCTTAGTATATCTAAGTATATTGTCCATAAGCATAAGTCCCTGGTTTCAAAATTTACTTTAGCTGAGATTTCACATTATATATTTGACAAATATGTAATTTCTCTCGTTTCACCTCTATGGTAACATAGATGATAATAACTTTGCTTGTAATTTATAGTGTAACTGTAACAACTGGCAAATTTTAATAGAAATCTTACCCATCTAGAGTAAGGGCGGAACTAGGATGCTTCCATAGACATTGTGAGCTAAATAAAACATATTTGTATTTAATAGCAATAGCATTTAAATTTATATATCACTTCACAGTGCTTTACAGTTCTCTCTACATGGTCTACAGAGTCAGCATATTGCCCCCAACAATCTGGGTCCTCAGTTTACCAACCTCGGAAGGATGGAAGGCTGAGTCAACCTAGAGCCTGGTGAGATTCGAACTGCCAAATTGCAGGCAGTCGGCAGGCAGCAGAAGTTGCTTGCAGTACTGCACTTTAACCACTGTGCCACCGCGGCTCTTTAAGTCTGTGTGAAGGAGCCTTTTGTTTTATAAAGCAGTGAAATGGTGGACAGATAGTAAAATTAAAACACAACAGACAATACTCTGCTTTAAGCTGTAATGCTATACCCACTGTAAGTGGATATAATAGGCACATACAACCAAACAAACGTCTAGAGGTCCCTAAATTGTAACCTACAGTTTTCTTTCACTAGTAAGAAAGCCAGGAGGGTCTGCTGACTAAATTCTTGGCCAGATACAACTGCTTCCTCTTGAGAGTAAATAGTCAAGAAGGAGAGTGCTAGAGTGGCTGGAAGTGATATGGAAAAAAGAAAGTGTCAGCATCAAATATAAGTTAAAGCAACCTCTGCTGACTTGGTTGGGGTAGGGCAAGTAAATGGAGATTCTTATAATTTTATTAAACTCAAAGGAATATACTTTTGAGGAGAAATCTATATGATTGTAGGTAATGATGAATCTATATGATAGGTAATTCAGAAAATTAAGAATTAAAAAGCAAGAGGAAAACTCAACCTATGGCAAAGAGGTCAAGTAGACTTCATTAAGTTACGTTCAGTTAAAATTTGTTTTTCTTTCTGGCCAGTGCAATCCAATTGCTAAGTAATTAAAAATTATTTTCTATGATACTGCCAATTGCTAGTTGCACAATTAACACTTTACTGAGAGATAATTATACCTAGTATGTAATATTTCTTCTACTGCTGAAGGAGGGTGGGGGGTGGGGGGAAAGAGCAACAGCAATTACCAGAAGCAGTTTTCTAGGCTTTTTCCCCTCAAAGAACAACAATTTGGTGAAACCAAATCTCTCATAGATGGGGTACAAAATTGCTGCAGCTGCCTTAGGAGTACCTTATATTATAATCTATTCAGTCATCTGTGTCTTCTTTTGATTTTCTAGGCTTGAAGTTAAATCTTAAGGAACAGCCTCTTAAGGGAACTCCTTATATAATGCTTCTAATAAGAAAGCACAGGCAAATGAGGTACATACACAATGATGCAGGTATGCATGGTGGACACCCACACACATATTCCACTACCCTAAAAAGATTCAAAAATATCACAAAAAGTGAAGGAAATTAATTAAATCTGAGGGAATGACCAGAAGACTCTTTGAGGAATTAAAATAAGTTCATAGTGGAAAACAAGTTTCACTATAGTATTAGGCAATCATCCATTGCCTAATGTCATCGAATGAGTTGCTGTATAATCAATAACTTGCTTGTGGCAAGAATTTATTCTGCACATTGCATGGGTGACTACATATTGTTCTTTGTTTACCTGAGGTATAATATATATTATATTGATTCAAGGCTTTCCAAACCAACTCCAAACTTAACAATAAAGTATAGATCATTTTTTTGAGGCACAGAATAGCTAAGGCAGCTTCAATATGTGTCAGAGAAATTTCAAAGCACACAGGAGTGAAAGAAGAAGAAAGCCTACCTGCTCAATGAAGGCCCTTTTACCCCAAAGCTACATTGCTGGGTGAGCTTCTCCCTTTGTTGTCCCTGCAATATCAAATCTCCAAAGCTCTTAGTTTATACTTAGATATTGCATCTGCATCAGTGGGCACCTCCCAAAGCTACCATTTGTTTTTTTCTTTAAGACAAGAAGTCTATTTTCTAATACTACAAAGAAATTAAGTGAATGAAGCTTGGTGCTCTCTTAAAGCCTTGAAAGAAAAAAAGAAGCAAAGACAAATAATCTCAAAAGCCCAGCCTTAGCAACACCAAAGACTGTGTGCAAAGCAAGAAGTGAGATTTTTTTTTAATCTCACAGAAGACTTTTAATAGGACAATTTGTTTTGTTCTTTAGAATTTGCTAGCTCTTATTAATTTTGTTATTGGTTCTAATAATTGTCATTTGTTTATTTTACATATAAATTCAGACTCTGTTTTTAAGAGCAAAAATACAATTTGAAAAGCAATGCTAAAATAACAAAACACTGAATAATGAAATAGCATAACTTAAAAGCATAAAAATTTACAGCTATAAGACACTGAAGGGCCTAAATATTTTCCAAAAGCAGAAACTAAGAATGTGAAGCAGTGGTGAAATCTAAAATTTGTTAGTACTGGTTCTGTGGGCGTGGCTTGGTGGGGGGGTAATGTGACTGGGTGGGGGTGACCATTTATTTTTTTTTACTTTTAAAACCATTTTTTCTACAACCTCTTCGGCGAAGAGTTTGTAAATGCTTCTGACAATCAGGCAACTCAGCTTGGATCGTCAGAGGCATTTAAAAGAAAAAATGCCTCTGATGATCAGGCAACTCAGCTTGGATCGTCAGAGGCATTTAAAAGAAAAAAACCTTTTTTTTCTTTTAAATGCCTCTGACGATCGAAGCTCAGAGGCATTTTTTCTTTTAAAAGCCTCTGATGATCCAAGCTGAGTTGCCTGATCGTCAGAAGCATTTAAAAAAAAAAAAGGCTCTGCCGATCAGGCAACTCAGCTGGGATCGTCAGAGCCTTTTGAAAGCATTTTTCTACAACCTTTGAAGAGGTTGTAGAAAACAGTAGAGACCTTCAAATTTCTAGGTCCTACCATATCGCAAGATCTAAAATGGACAGCTAACATCAAAAACGTCATCAAAAAAGCACAACAAAGAATGTTCTTTCTGTGCCAACTCAAAAAGCTCAAACTGCCCAAGGAGCTGCTGATACAGTTCTACAGAGGAATTATTGAATCTGTCATCTGCACCTCTATAACTGTTTGGTTTGGTTCTGCAACCCAACAAGTCAGACACAGACTTCAGAGGATAATTAGAACTGCAGAAAAAACAATTGCTACCAACCTGCCTTCCATTGAGGACCTGTATATTGCATGAGTCAAAAAGAGGGCTGTGAAAATATTTACAGACCCCTCACATCCTGGATATAAACTGTTTCAACTCCTATCCTCAAAATGACGCTCTAGAGCACTGCACACCAGAACAACTAGACACAAAAACAGTTTTTCCCCGAACGCCATCACTCTGCTAAACAAGTAATTCCCTCAACACTGTCAAACTATTTACTAAGTCTGCACTACTATTAATCTTCTCATCGTTCCTAATGGTAGGGCTGGTGCTTGTACCAATTTTTGTTTAACTAGATTTAGGTTCCATTAGATGCAAACAAGCACATCCAAGAGAAAAGCCAATTTTAGAGTAAGATGTGCCAGACTGCAATTACAAGGATTGTCTTGGCAAAGGTTTTCATTTCAATATGTATTTTTTTAAATAAAATATCTTTCCCCCTAATTAAAATTACTTACTGATGAAGTAGTCTCTGCTGCCAGTCTTGCTGCATACCGGGCGATCAGTCTATGTTCTTCATCTAGACGGTTTGGGCTTTCAAGTAAACTGTTATAGGAGAAGGGCAAGGAACAATGAAAAAACATTAATATAAATGTTAAGAGGAAAATGCTCCTTAATTTATACAGAGAAATGATATCTGTGATGATGATGGTAGAGGAGACATGATAGAAATTAATAAAATCATGGAAAAGAGGGAGAAAATGGACATATAATGTTCTTCTATAACCCTGTATCCCTAGATCAAGTGAAATAGTTTGATAGCAATTAAAAGAAAATTAAGTAATGTGAGGAATTTCCAGCTGATGAAGTGGGTACAAATTACTGACTTTAACGACTTTACAAAGTGACTGAAGTTTAGTGACTTCACAATTTCATAGTGATTAAATTAACCAAAGGCTACAATCATGCCATCAAAAAGTACCTGCCATAATCAGAAACAGCATGCCTATAAAAAAGGAGCTTTTTTTTTTTTGTCAACCCTGGTAGGGGTTTGTCAAAAGTTTTTGATTGATCACTGCTGGAAATAGTTTGCTGGAACAAAGGATGTCTACAGGGTATGGTTTAAACATGTCAAGATTGTGGCTACAATGGTGTGATTGAAGATCCACCTATTTTTCTGTGCAAATCATCTCTCTCCCCCATCCCCCTCCCCCCCAGACATAGAGATTCAACTGCGCTATCATGGCCAATGGCCATCATCTTGATTTTTTGTTTATATTCCTAGATGACTCAACCATATCTACTCCAAATGTATTAGGATTTCCCTATTTCTTATTGTTAATTACATTTTTGACATTATTTTACATTTGTGTTGGTTGAAGCAGCATAAAAGCACTTGACATAAATAAATGAACAAACAAATAAATAAATAATACACGTATCATCATACCATCCAACATACACAGGAGGAATCTATTTTGAAAGGCAGTGGTAACTTAGCACTTTTGCCATCATTCCTAAATTTAAAATCATTCTGTCACTTCTATTTCTCAAAGCAAATATTTTCCCCTCTCCTAGCAAAATTTAAAAGTCAAAGCATCTTCTTTTTTCGTAAAGTAAAAGCATAACAATGATAATTTGGATTTAAAGAAACTAAAAAATTCATTTTTTTCACCCTTTTTAGTTTTTTTCATTCTAGTATGCCACTATTGTAAGGTAATAATACTGGTAATTTTTTTGTAACAATGAGAAATAACTACATTTTAGCTATTTCACATTACTTTCAGGATAATGAGTCTATACCTGTAATGAAGCTTCCATAATATACTAGACAACTTGTGACCCGCTGGGTCATCCTTTTAGATATATTTCCTCATCTAAACAAAGAATGGAAGTCCAAACCTCTGCCACAGTCTGGCCATCAGCCGCAATCATATGATTCCCATTGACTTTTCCCTTGTAAGCTTCCCAGGTTTCCTCATTGAGTTGTGGGAAAGTGTCAGGGAATGTTGCAAATAAGGATTATGAGACCATAGTAACATATTCAACCTGAACATTTCTGCTCTAAACTTAAGATTAGACAAAGGTATGCAAATAACATTTTCTTAAGCTTTTAAGTAGCAGGTGAAGTAACACTGAAAATTCTGAATGGAGAATGCAGATGTAGGCTATGGGGGGATACATTTTGTTCTTTAATAAGACATTATTTATCACTCTCCCCCAAAATGTATCTGCCTAAATTGTGTGGGCATGCATACAGATAATTAACAGATAGATAAAAGAACACAAATAAGGGTTGTAATAATGCATTAAGCTGAAAGGGGTGGTGGTGCAATTATTCAGTGAGGTAGTAATTGTACTACATTTCAACCTAATCGGGAAGAAGAATTTACTGCCAGATATTTCAAGGCAAAACAAAAAACAAAAAACAAAAAAACCCACTAGCAGACCAAAGATTATTCACATAATTCTTAAAGCTAAAAGACTGCTTGATGGAATAAAACAGCAGGAAAAGCTAAATACTGCAACTCCAAATAAAATCAGTCCATTCCTTTAGTGCTGTGACACCTGAACATGCGAATTTATCTTGCTTACACACAATAAGAAAGACAGGGTTACAAATGAGTTATTTCTCAACTGATACAATGGTGAGATTACAGAATGGGACTAATTTGCTCTAAATCAGTTCAGATGATTTAGGTCTATTAATGTGCCATGATAAATTATATCCACACTTCAATAAATACAAGGCACTGTGCTCTGAGGGGCAGTGTAAAAACAACAGCTAAAAGCAAGCTGAAGCAAACTATTTTATTTCTGAAATCATCAAATCCCCAAATGACTGCTTGGCTATGTATATTAATAGATTAAGATGAGCAAAGGAGCTCCACACTATGAATATCTTCAGATTCTGAATTCTTCATACAGTAACTGCTGGTAAATAACACATAACAGCAGGCCAGTGTTTCTCCTGGCATCTTAGATGATCCTAATACCTTAATGCTTCTCAATCCATTAAAAAAAAAAGGGGGGGGGACATAATATACAAAATTCTGAACTTCTTGTGCTGTTTTATTTTTATGAATACGTATTTCTTATAATTTTTTTCACCCAACAGCATTTCTTTAAGGAAGTAAGTGCATTGATTCTAATACTTTAATGCTTCTCAGTCCATTCAAAAAAGGACCTCACAATATACAAAATCCTGAACTTCTTGTGCTGTTTATTTCTAAGAATATGTATTTCTAATTTTTTCATCCAATAGCATTTCTTTAAGGAAGTCGGTGCATTCTGAGTTTACATATTAGACCACAATATGGCTTAGAAAAGATAAATAGACGGATGGATATAGAGATATATAGATTAGATATAGAAATAGATGATACAGATATAGATACAGATATAAACAAATGTGTCTGCCTATTTCACTGTTTGCTGGGCTCCAATCATAGTAGACTCCTAATGGTGTACATGTTCTATACAGCAATCCAATTAAAAATAATAAATAAAAATGTTAGCCCAAAGATCTCGGGGATCACATGCAGCTACTTCTTATGCAGGCAGGAACAAGATAACAATATGTCCCAAAGGCCTGCCAAAAACAGGTGTTTTTGAAAACTCAGAAACGCAAGAGCCAATCTAATATCTGGATGAATGGTGTTGCAGAAATAGGAGCATCAATTGAAGAAGTCTTGTGTCATGGGTTCTACAGATGACACTCCCTGAAAAAGGGCCTGCGATAAAATGCTTTCTTCCTGATCTTAATAGATAATCAGAAATCATTGAGGATACACGGCTCCAAAGATACACATAGTGCTATGAAAGCGACATCACCAGGACCTTAAATTGCACCAGGAAGCAAATTGGTAAACAGTGCAATTCTCAGTTACACTGTGAACTGATTAATAGTAATCTGTCTGAGCCACTTTTTCTGGACCAGCTGAAGTTGTTCAAGTCATCTTTAAAGGCAGTCCAATGTAAAAGCATTGCAGTAATCAAACAACAGGTGACCAAAGCATAAGTAAAAATGAGTTGGGACAACTTCTCGAGGAAAGATTATACTTGATGCATAGGACAGCACTGTGGGAAAAATCTCCTTTCACAGCTGCTACTTGCTCCTCATCAAGCAATAGCTATGAGAATAGAAGGACTTTATTTTATGGGCCAATTCTGACTGGCAAAACATGATCCTATTCAGAATTAAAGATCAAATTTATCTGAAATCACAATGTTTCTATACCACGTGTCGGGATTAGACTTAATCATGTTTGTCTCTATCTAGAGCCTGGGGCACTCCTATTCAGTTGGTAGCTGAGATGTAAAGGTGAGTATCTTCAGCATATGAATGATTCCTGACTTCAAACTAATGGATTATCCCTCACCTCCCTGCAGCTTCATGTACATACAGTACCAATAGAGAGAAAATTAAGACTTTTCTCCACCTTCCTGAAATTTTTGGAAAGAAGAGAACCATCAAAGGACAGTGCCTTCTACCCCCAACCTTGGCACACAGTTCTATATGTGCAACATGAAGGCTTCAGAGAAATTAAACAATAGCAAGGCAATCATCCTTCCCCTATATCAGACTTGCCAGAAATCCTCCATAGGAGCAATTGTTATGGACTTGTTTCCATATTATGCAGGGCAGAATGCAGATATAAAAGTGTGCAGATAATTCATCTCTTCCAGAGCTCTGGAGAGATTCATATGCTTTCAATAACCTTTTGTTATTTTATTATAAAATGAAAATTACAGCTAAATATCCAAACGTTTTATCATGTTTTCTGTGATTTACAGTCATGCATGAAAAACACGCTTACCTGAAAATCTAATCTTCATATAATGACCATACAGGATATTGCCCTTCCAAAGATTGCAGCTCTCTGAGAGAGGTGACCAATCTAATGTCCTGGGCAAGAGTGGATGGCTGACTCCTGGGAATATAGCTTGCAGGAATGTTGCAAATGTTGCTGCTCATATGCAAAGAATATAGATTTGAAGGCATACTGATGTTCAGCTATCTTATAGCAAAGTGAGACTATTCACTTGGACTGATGCTAGGGAAGAATGTTTTACATATTTTATATTTTATATGTCCTTGAAAGACCAGGAATAATTACTGGTCCAGGCAAAATGGTGCCAAATGATCTCATTATGTTCCTGGTGGTCTGTAGTGCAAACAGACTTTTTGCCCATGGGTGATTTGATGATGGCCATACCTAACTGATACATTTTTCACTATGGCTGTTCTGTATGGCTGAGTTGTTGAGGGTAGGATATTGTTTCTTCCAAGCAGGATGAAGTTGGAGTGACCAAACCCCAATCTATAAAGTACAGTACAAAACAGGGTAGGAGCTGGACTTTGTATCACCTTGTTTTTGTGTAAAACACTGAGCTTGTCAACCAGAAGGAAGGCAACTTGATTTACCAAAGTTAAAAAAAAAAGCACCCAGTTTATGCCTATCTGAAGGAGATACTTTGCTCTAGCAATACTGGTATGTTTGAAAAAGAATCCTTAGGGATGTAAAACCAAAAGTCAGATGAGATGAGAAGATAAAGATCCTTGCACAGTTCTAAAGTATTTTAAAGACGAGATGAGAATAGATTAAGCAAGCTAAAAAAACACTCTTCAAAAAGGACAAATTGTTTTTTTTTTTATAAAACAATTTGATGATCGGTTCAAGGACAAATGTGCTGATGTTGTGACAACTGAAAAACAGAAAAGCTGGGATTATGTCTACTTGCACAGTATGTGAAGGGACAGGGATCCTACCAATGAATTCTATAAACTCTAGATGAGTCTCAGTGTGGCTGTATGCAAACACATAGATCAACAGTATGAATCACAGAGACCATGATGAAGTACCACTTTGACTGATGTCGATTTTATTCACTTTTAATAACTGAACGCTCCCCTACCCACTTTTCTCAAGAGGAAATCTAATACAATCTAATTTAAATGATTTTAGAGTTGAAAGAAATAGGCAGAAATCTTGGCTATTATTAGATGCCTGATCAACAATTGCATCTATTTCACAAGCTTAAAGTGAAACATAAAATAACAAAAAGAGTGGAAAATAATCTCTTGCACATTAAAAACATAATTTAAACAATTATCAGTAACTTTACTGTTAACAGTTTGATCCCCAAATTCTCCAAGTACACCTGTTTGTTGAATCTGTATTTAACACAGCTTTTTCAGTAAAGGTTATATATTTTTTGCTTAGAAGTCACTCCCATGTAAAAAAAGAGTATGCTGTGCAGTATTTGTAGATCAGGAGTTTGAAAATTTTTTTGACCTGATAGTTATAGTTCCCCATGAATCGATACATTCTAGAAAGAAAGTAGGATCAGGGTAAAGTACAGGGTAAAGTACTAGGGCTAAATAAAAACTTGAATGTATATTAAATTTGTAAAATACAGTTAATACTATTAAATATTCAAAAATAATTATAATTAGTTCTTATTTAATAATTTACTCTTTGTAAATTTAAAATCTTAATTTTTTAAAAAATTAAAAGTTATAATTTGGCAGCAAATATTGTAGGGGTTGGGAGCTACAACCAAGTATTTTTTGTGTACTCAGAGCATATAAAATATTCCTAAACTGTCTCGCATAGGCTCTTTGTACCCCAATTAGTATGTTACTAAGATAAATGAGTCCCATTTAATATAATATTTATAAATACATGAATGATTGCATCATAAACACTAATGCAAATCAATATTCATGGCAATAATTCTAATCAAGGCAACTATTTATGAAATTTAGCATGCTGTGGTAATAAAAGGGAATGAGAAGACCAGTTCAATCAAGTCAGATCTGCTCCATTGTTGAGGAATCTCCATTGGATGATCAGGCTTGTGTCCCTCTTCTCTAGAGACCCCACCAAGGCACCCAGCCTGCACTAACCGTGAGGGGTTGTTCTGGAGCATGTTGACATACAACCCAATGAGTACATGTTCATCAGCCAGCCTGTCTGCAACATCGAGGCTATACTGTAACCTGAAATAGGGTTGAGGGGAGGAGGGTATAGTCCGGACAGACAAAGAGAAATAAAACAGAGAAAGCAGGAGCAAGTAAGAGTGCGAAATGGGAATTTACAAATGCGCAGTCAAATGTTCTTCAGTTTGTTATCAAACCCAACCATTGCAGGTAGAGCTCAGGACAGAACTTAAGATAGCAGGCCTATAGAGCAAAGGTATCAATTTGCTAGTACAGTACATACAGACCACCTACAAAGTTTAATAGGGTAGTGATGCTCAAGGACATGCACAAACTAGCCTAGGATTAGTGCTACTATGAAGCATAATGTAAAAAAGAAAATCTTACAAAAGTTGCTAATTATATCTGCAAATCCTAAGCAAATATATTCAGAAACAATTTCAATGATAACAGATATTTTACTGTAGTGCTAATCTTTATAAGCAGAGCAGTCATGTTAAATGGTTCCCAGGAATGAAAACTTTCAAACAGCATGCAGAAGATTACATGTGAAGAGACTTGTGCCCATAAAATATTCTTTACACAAGGCAACCTAGTGTACCAGAGAGAAGATTAAAGGTGGATCATCTCGCTGATATGCTAGATTTTCAGTGGAAAATATTTTTTTAGGAAGGAACAAATATATGATTTGTTCAAATGCCTGTTAAAATGACAGAGTCCTAGGAACGGTATATTACATTATTGAATTGCAAAGACAGATTAGCTATTTAAGATAAGCACATAATATGAAATCTGGATAGATACAGAGCAAAGTGTAGAATTATATTTTAAGAGATTATATTAGAAAATCATTAAAATTGTATAATGTGTGTATGTGAACACACTTAATTCCTCTGGCGTAGTAATTAAAACTATCTATGGTTATACTCTTAGTAAAATACATAATATATTGAAAGGAAACGGCATTTGCTTTAGTTGTGTTAGTATAAACTACTAATGCTTTTTGAAACTTACCCTTTGCCTTTCAAAAAACCTGCAACAGCCCTAGCCAGCAATTTGTCCTGCTCTACTTCATTATCCTTGTAAGGAGAGCTAGTTAATAAGACAATACATATTGACAGCTAACTATTACTGAAACTTGTTCACTAACTGAAACCTAAGTAATTAATAATAAAAATTATGTATGGCTACTCAAAACAAAGAATGCTTCTCCCAGTACAATATAAGTACCTCATCACAGGATTGCAGTCTAAAAGTATAATGATAAAAACAAAATATTGCATAAGTGTAAAACAACTTACAACACTTTTGCTACAGAATATTTTTCACAACTATAAATGCACTGCCCGCTAAATGATACCGTGTTTCCCTGTCTTATATTTTTTTGAACCCTGAAATAAGCGCTTGGCCTTATTGCCATGCGCTCAAAAGACCGATTGGGCTTTTTATCAGGGGATATCTTATTTTGGGGGAAACAGGGTAACAACTTTGGAATAATAATGTACTTAAATAAAAACTAAACGTACTTTGATAATAACGTACTTAAATAAAAATAGATTCTAAAAATTATTTAAGAGTTGCAAACTAGACATTGTATGAAACAAAAATGAAAAATACTAACACTTTAAAAATCATTTTCCAACATAGGGTTTCTGCAGGAAGTATGAGAATGCAATAAAAACACAGTCCTTTTTGTTACCACAGAAAAATAACCTTGCCACATTCAAGAAAATCTACATGAAACTGAAGAAGCACTTAGTGAAGATTTTAATTTAAAATTAGAAAAGTATATTTACTTAGGTATCTCTGCATCGATAGTTCAATACTGCATTTTAAGGCTCAGGTTAAAATATGTATTTTAAAAACCAAAATTTCATTTTTTAATGCAGTTCTGAGCAAAAAATATACCGTAATTTGAAAGAATTTTAAAAACAGATTTAAAATGAAATATATTATAAAATCTTGTCCCTGTTTCATTTTACTCCATTCCTGTTTGCCATTCCCTAAAGCAGACTTTTCATGACAGCTACATATATGGCTGTATGTTATTCAAAATAGTGGATTCCTCTGTTTAAAACATAATACCAGAAGATGATATAATGAAGGGAAAAAACTTTACCTAATGCACAATGCAGTTAGTCCCAAACAAACTTTATATTTATTTAATCCAACTCAATCTGCAGCTAGTACATTAATATGATGTGGACTTAAGTTTTCATAAGTCCACATCATTATATCACTGACATCTAATTCAGGAGAAAAAGATAATTTCAAGTCCTATGAAGCAGGTTTCAGTATGAACAGAAGTTCTATTTGTGCAGGGGACAAAAGTAGTACATCTCTTTTTCATTTATGCTAGGAATATTTCTTTATATGTAAAGGGAAATTACGATGTATCCAAAGGGCAATTATCGCTCAAAAGAGCATCACTTCATAGGAACATTAATATCTCCATCTGTGGTAAATGTGCCATGATAAATATAACTAGGAACAGAGAATAAAATGAGATGTAAGTTCTCTCTGATTTCTAAAATATCAAAATATTAATTCAAAATTAAATGCTAGTGTTTAAGGGCTAATTCTTTCTGGTATGAATCTATCAGGTTTCCAATACAGCCAAAATCTGCAAGTGAATTAAGATGATCAAACTGAAGACATGATTGGAGTTATTCAATCCTTCTTTAGAAATTTAGCAAAAAATATTTTAAACTCTCAAGCCTTTTGGAATTTGACACAGAATCTGCAGTTTTCTATACTCTTGATGAATATCACAGGTTCCATACATTTCCTCAACATGGTAGATTTCATCTCTTTCATATGTTGCATTCAATCCTGAGTTATAGTATTGGCAACAAGCCATATACTGGAATGCTAAGGTATTCTGACATCTGCCTAGTCCAATCCAGCATCTTACTACTAACATAAAGTAGAATTCAGCAGCATTTAGGAATCTAACTGTAAATAATAAATTTAATTGTTTTTCGATAAGATTTCAAATTGTATATGTATGTATATGTATATATATATCAGTGGTGGGTTGTTCCCGGTTCTGTCCAGTTCTGTAGAACTGGTAGTAAAACTGGTGGGAGGCTCCGCCCACCTGCCACCTGCCAGAAGCTTCTGCACATGTGCAGAAGTGCGCGCTCCCGCTGTGAACCAGTAGTAAAGGTAAGTAGAACCCACCCCTGATGTATATGTATATGTATATGTATATGTATATGTATATGTATATGTATACGTATACGTATACGTATACGTATACGTATACGTAGAGAGAGAAGAGAGAGAGAGAGAGAGAGAGAGATACTGTAGATATAGATATACTGTAGATATAATATAGATATATCATCTGGGAATATCACATTGCAATGATCAACAGTTACATATTGAAATTAATTTCCTACTAAGCAATGGAAGAGACATGCATAGTAACAAAATATATAGAAAGAACAGGAATTAAAATAATACAAAATAAAAAAGAATTTAACTTTCATGAAGGGAAAAATAACTATCTATTCTATAAGTTTCAGCATGCCATTTATCTGATTTCATTTCAAACACTTGTCCTATCATTGTAGTAAAAATGTTTATTTTCAAATACTATAGTAAGAAACATACTGTCCCAGAGTTTTATTTAAATCTTGATGAAACAAGGCATTATCAGTTTTAATAAGGGAGCAATGTAGACTAACCTAGCACTGCACTAGTTAAAGGCCTTGTATCATACAAATAAAGCTGATTTTTAAAACATAATTTAGGACTCAAAATACAGTGAAATATTGCAGAAGATATTTAACTGAAATGGGATCAGATCAAATTTCTCTTTTCTCAGGCATCAGCCAAAAGCTAAATTACAGTTGGATGCAGTGGTGAAATCCAAATTTTTTACTACCAGTTCTGTGGTGGACGTGACGTGGCTTGGTGGGTGTGGCAAGGGAAGGATACTGCAAAATCTCCATTCCCTCCCCATTCCAGGGAAGGATACTGCAAAATCTCCATTCCCACCCCACTCTGGGGCCAGCCAGAGGTGGCATTTGCCGGTTCTCTGAACTATTCAAAATTTCAGCTACCAGTTCTCAGAACTACTCAAAATTTCTGCTACCGGTTCTCCAGAACCTGACAGAACCTGCTAGATTTCACCCCTGGTTGAGTGGTTGTGAGATTGGGTTCAAGCGAAATTGCGGGAAGGTATTTGGTTTTTAATTTTCATGTGTCTGTTTGGGAGCTTATACCATCTTTTTCAACAATTTCCCGCTTTAAAGGACAGGAAAGTATGCCATTAGGTTTTAGCAATAATGTGCAAAGAGGATCTAAGAGCTGCAAAAAGATAATTCAAGGAGTAAGCCTGAAGACTGGCTATTCCTCCTTTACTTCATAACCTTCAGATGTAATGGAGGCTGAATTGGCTTAATTCATTAAGTATTATTCAGGTTATCAGTATCTACTGGAAATTGATTAAATGCATTCATTGTGTCCTCATTTATTTTTAAGTGCAGACTCTTTGCTTTGTCGCTTAACAGCAAGTTCCACTTTACTGCTTCTGAATACTGTTATTTTATATATATTTATACACATACAAAACATAGACAGAACGAGTTATGTTGTATTTTGGATTCTGTCTATAATGTTTTATCAGACTTGAAAGTAGGCTGTTCTTCACTTGATTTCTTTTTTCTGGGTGAGCCTGGGGTGTATACTATGTAGGAATATGTCTAGAACAATTTGAGGCAATATGAAATAATACAGTTGGATATATGCATGAGAATGGAGAAAGGTTCAACAAAATGAATCTATCTATCTATCTATCTATCTATCTATCTATCTATCTATCTATCTATCTAACATTCCTTCATAACCGTATATGTTTTAAAAATGATATTCATGATGAAAATGCATACTGATTTACTTATACTGCAGTCCTGTACCAGTTTATTTGGAACTAAATTTATAGAGTTAATGGACAAATTCCCTGTTAAAAATATATAGAATTATGATCTTAATTTTATGAAACATCTATCAAATCTGATTCAAGTCACTACACTTTACATATAGAGTATTATATGATTCTTTGAAAAATGAATAGATTTTAGAAGAACTATTATTGTATGGGTAAGCATAAGATCAACAGGTCAGTATAGTATATTCAAACTTCCATCATGCAAAAATGCCCGGCCAGCTATTTCTAAGAATCTCAAAAGTAGGACATTGAGGATATTTAAGCATAATTGCTGCATGCGTGAATAAGACCTGTACCTTGGGAATTCCTCTGAGAAAATAACTATTGGAAGTAAAATGAAAGACATCATTATAGGATTAATCATACTGGATAATTGAAGGGAAAATATATTTATTTACCACATTTCTAGGACACCCAGACAACTCTAGAAACCTTTTCAAACTAAAAACACAATAAAATATAAAACAATATAAAACCAAGCATAAAAAAACCCCACAGGTATACCGAGGGAAACTACCAAGAGGCACAACATACAATCACTACATCCATTACTAAAAGAGGACTTGCCCAACCTGCATAACCCCAGGCCTAAAGACATAGTAAAGTTTTTTGAGATACATTGAAGACTGGTAAGGGAGGTGAGTATGACACTTGGCAACCAGTGAAATTCACATAGTAGGAGCTAAAAAATATCCTTAGAACCAGGAAGACCAAATACCCAGACTTGTTAGGGTTGAGCACAACCCTTTTCATCCTCATCCATATCTCAACAGCTTCCCATGCACTTGGAGAAGTTTGGACAGCATTGCTTGGTTTGCTAGTGGTTGAGCTTATAACTGGGTACTATCTGTATACTGATGATACCTGACCCCCAACTGATGACCACAGGTAGACGTTAAATAGGAAGGGCAAGAGTATTGAGCCCTGAGTCACTCCACAAAATTAGGACTTTGGAAGACAATCTCCCCTCTCCTATCAACACTCACTGTAACCATTCACAGAGAAAGGAGGAGTACCACTATAACACTGTGGCCCCCATTTCCATATCCTCAGCTGGTTCATAAGGATAGTCAGACTGGTGTTAGCAAAAGCCCCAGTTGACATAGGAGGGCCAGGTTGCTTATAGCATAGCATCACCATTCCAGCCTTCCCAGAACTCATCAAGTTCTGTTTCAGTTTCTATGTCCCAACCTGAAACCTAACTGAAGAGTCCAGATAATACAAGGTGGTTGGAAATTGGGTGAAATTTTCCAGGAAGGTTGGATTTAGCAATATCTTAACAAGGGGAAGCACTACACTCCTTGGCACATGCGGCCACACCATCTTTTGGATGTAGATGCCACCAAATGGACTCAACCACTTATCCCCTCTGAAGCAGCCTTCAGAAAGCATGGGAGGCAAGGCAAGGCAAGAAATAGGTAATTGGGTTGACAAGCCTTAAGAGTTCATCATTTTCTTAGAAGTCACAGGACCAAACCTGTTCCTCTTAATTGAGCCAGTTCATGCTTCCATCACCTCATTTGTATCTGCCTGGTTAAAGTTCAATTTGAACAAATCTGAGTGATTTAATCCACTGGATACCTAGAGTATTCCTCACAGGGGCCCAAAAGATGGTCTTTTGGTTCATCCCTGCCTATCAAAAAGTGGGATAACCAAAAAGGACAGTGGTCTGTTAACAGCAGATATGACAAGGGAACAGAAATAACTATATTTCATCACTCTTATTACTACAATGTTATCCTTAATATGGGGTACTCCATATGCTTGGTTGGATTTGTTCTCCATTTTCCTCTAATAGTGTTCTAATGTCTCTTCTGAAGACACTTTTCTGGAGTTTCAGCTCCTGGAGTTCTTCAGAGTACCAAAGAACCTAATAGGAACAATTTAATCTAAGGCTTCAGTCATCTACCATGACTTCTATAGACAATTCATCAGATCCTTGGGCAAAATCTCAAATACTATTTGAAACCTTAATGAGTTCATTGGATGCTTTGGGTGGACTGATTGAATAGGCCCTACCTCAATATGGGGAAGGGGAACACTAAAAAGCAATCAAAAGATTATCTGACTATGTTACAGAATTGAAAGCGATGTCTTCAGATCAATTTCCAACTGTCCTGAAATAAAAATTAGAATCTCTGTGATCTCTGTCAAGGATTAGTCCGTCAATAATTTGGGACAGGTCCATGGCTTCCTTGATGGCCATGGACTCAATACTCTCAGGAGCAACTATGGTTCTTGAAGATTTAAAGATAGCCATGAAATCCAGTAGCTCAGGCAGGGATGTCACCATGCAACAGAGAGGCGAATGGAGCAGTAATAAACTTAGCTGCTTCCTGGAATGCAGCAAATCCAAATCCTTTGAATATGTTGTGCCATTATCAATAATAATAACAAGAAGTATGTAAATTACCCATACCTAGCATCAGATACTAATTTATTGTAACTACATTGTGCATTTGAATGCTTATCTTGTACAATGTGTAAGTAAGTTCAAAATTGGAAATTTCAAATTAACATGGAATTAATTTGAAACCCAATTCAAACTATAAAAATATTATTATTATTATTATTATTATTATTATTATTATTATTATTTTAAAAAAGCCTATTTCTTTGATTAGTATTCTTACGGAATGACTAATGTATAACATATTGGTTTTAGTGTGGTTACAGAACTACATCAATTAGTAGTTTAGTGCTCTCATACTGACCGTAAATTGTTGTGTAGCTTATTTACATACAGGTTTATAATAGCATGCTCATCAACCACCGGATTGTCTATATTTATACTCTCAAGTAACCTGAATGAGTCAAACAATGAAACCTCATTAACAGGACGTATATGCAGAAATACACATTGGGATATACAGTATATGATGGGGATTTAATGCATCCAATTCAGTTCCACTGAATAAAGACTACTGCCTTTAAATAACAAAGTATAAACATGTAATTCAAGTTAAGAAGACCTAGGAATAAAAATAATTAGAAGTTACTACTAGTTATATCACTGAGTGAGAGGAAATATTCTTAAGTGTAAAAAAATCCCAACAATTAATTTATCATATCATAGGGTATCAGTTGACACTCATACAACTTACAAAAGGATTTTGCCATTGTAAGAGATTTGTAAAGCCACAATAATTAAGGAAGAGTGGCTTGCATGTTCTTCACAGAAACTCAAATAAGCAAATTAAACACACAGCACATTGTCTATGATTATTTCTTTACATGCCTTTATGCAGTATTTTTACTGTGTTTATGATGGAATCACAAAGGAGTGTTATACAACCAATGTGGTTCTGGGCAAAATAACAAATACATCTTATAATACTAAACTACATGGCACACACATCTATATCATTCTTAAGAATTCATACAGGAGAAGGGGATAAGGAAAGAAAAAAATCTGATAAGGAATAAACATAGCTCTTTTTTGTGCTTTCAATATAACTATCATAGCTTTCATTTTTTAAAAAATACAATGATGGGCTGTAACTTCAGTTGTTTTCAAAATGTTCAGCAAGTTGATGGAGAAGAGGTTATCCATATTAAGTTCAACTTGTACCTCCAAGGACAGGGAATAACTGAATACACATAGTCCTCGACTTACGATCACAATTGAGGCCAAATTTTGCATTGTTAATCAAGATAGTTATTAACTGATTTTTGCCCCATTTTATAACCTTTCTTGCCACAGCTGTTAAGTGAATCACTGCAGTTTGTTTAGTTAGTAATATGGTTGTTAAGTGAATCTGGCTTTGCTCGCCAGAATGTTGCAAAAGATAATCACATGACCCCAGGGCACTGCAACTGTCATAAACACATGTCAATTGCAAAGCTGTCAAATTTTGATCATGTGACCCAGTGGTGGGTTTCAAACTTTTTTTACTACTGGTTCTGTGGGCGTGGCATGGCTTGGTGGGCGTGGTTTGGTGGGTGTGGCAGGGGAAGGATATTGTAAAATCTCCACTCCCACCCCATTCCAGGGAACGGTTACTGCAAAATCTCCATTTCCTCCCGATCAGCTGGGACTTAGGAGGCAGAGAATAGATGGGGGTGGGGCCAGTCAGAATTTTTACTACCGGTTCTCCGAACTACTCAAAATTTCCGCTACCGGTTCTCCAGAACTGGTCAGAATCTGCTGAAACCCACCTCTGACCATGGGGATACTACAACTATCATAAGTGTGAAAAATAATAATAAACCACTGCTTTCAGTGCCATTGTAACTTTGAATGGATGAATGATTGTAAATCAAGGACTACCCATAGTGGAGTGCTATGAGCATATCAGGGAAAATATTTGTTTTTTGCTGTGTTTTTAAACTTTAGAGCAGCACTATTGGACTTCATATGTCCCTCTCTTCTTTTTTATGTTTATATGAGTTTTGAACAATATATTCAACATATATTAGTTCAATCTATTTGAACTGGAAAAATTTAAAAATAGTAACAAGAAAATGTGAAGCAATATCACCTCAGTTTCATATTCCAACTTTTATTGATTATAAGAAATTTTTTAATATGGAAAAGTTATCACAAAAGTAAATAATCATGTGTCAACAAATGGAATTTTCTAGACCTCATTATAAAGTAAAAATTAAGGAATGGAGAAATTCTTGCTGAATGTGTTTGGTGTTGGGGAACTTGCTCTTATGATAGTTCTTAGTTGACTTTATTTAGCTATCGATGTTCAACCCAGAACTGCCTTTGTTTAATGCCCTTGTCCTTGACTGTCGGTTTGTGCAAGTCTGTTCCTGTTCAGGTAAAGAGGCCAAATGTGCCTATAATATATGAATTAATAAAACTCTCAATCTTTCAACCTTGAATAGAACTCAGTTTCTTCTCCAGAGGTAGCAAATGTGAACAAAGTACTTTCCTATAAATAAAAGACTAGCTCAGGGGTGTCAAACTCGTGGCCCGCAGGCCGGATGTGTCAAATGCTAGCTACGCTCACCCCGTTTTAGCAAAGGGGGAAAAATCATGATATGTCACATGACCATGTGACGACACAAGTTTGACACTCCTGCTCTAGATTGTATGCTTAGTTAATTAACAATTTTTATGCAATCATCTGTTTATATATTAAATCAATGACAGTGAAAAAAATCTTAAGAGTGATTCGCAATGTTATACTCTGATCAGAGCTGGATAAAATAAACTGCTCTGCATATTCTAAGAACAATAGGTTAAGACAGAAGATATTCCCACTGCATAATTTTCTCTTTTTCCTAATTAAAACAATCGAGGCATTAAGTGCATGAATGTGAACTAGGAGTAGGTAAAAGAATTAAAACTCCTGATTGCAGCATTAAACTGACAAAAGATATGTTATTCCTACATGTTATGAACCTGCCTCCTACATTTAATTTCCTCAGCTTTTGGGCCAGTTGAGTGGGAATCTCCTTTTGGTTGAGGTCATCATTTCATGGTTTTCATTTTATATTCCTATTTATATATTGTGTGTATTTTAGCATTCTGTATTTTTAATGGTTTGTTTTTGTTGTTTTATACCAAAAAATTCATGTCATCGAGCAGCCTTATAAATCTAGTAATAAAAAAGAAATAAAAAAATGAATAATCTTAGATAAACTTAAGTAGATCCCCTATTGTGATTTACATCACTAGAGTTATATGTTTGCTCATAAATTATTTTATTCATTAATTTGTATAAATCTATTTCATGCATTATTTATTAAAGGAAATCTACACAAATAATTACATTTAGATGAGTTTTTAAAATGTATTTGAAAGTATGTTCTTTCAGGATACACACATTTGACATAATTTTGAGCTAAGCACTCTGGGTCTAATAGATCAGAAAAACGTAAACTCTACTAATTGCTACATTCCATTGGGTTAGAAATACAGCTGAGGACCACTCAAAATGGAAGTCATAAACATTGAATTTCTTAGTCATCTTTAATTCCAGATTACAATTATTTAAAAATATTTCTAAACAAATCATTTAAGGTGCAGCAAACATAACTTCAGTGAAAAGAAAACAGATTTAAGTTCTTTATATCCTTCTCCATCTTTGTGTATATAAGTTCAAAGAAGGCTTTCTGTTATTTTACATCTCTGTGAATTTAAATCCAGAAACTGGAATTTCAGTCTTTTCTAAAAATCAAAATTTCAATTCATTGTTTGAAATGCTGGTTAAAAGCTCTTAAAACATAATTTTCTGATGTGAACGTCATAGGAAACTGGTTTAACAAACGAGGTTTCTTCCTAATGTGGGCATTTCAGAGATGGAGGGAGTATTTGAATCCTTTAATCTTATATTTTATTAATCTTATATAATATCAGTTTAATTAATATTAAACCAGGCATACACCTTTATCCAGGTACATTGTTTAACATACAATGCCTATATCTCTTGGCATTTGGATATCTGCAGGATCACACTATCTAATCTTCATCCCTCCACCCAGCAGGGTTGTCCTCGAGGAAAAAAAAAACATCTGCTGCTTATTATTTTCCTCTTCAAAAAGTGAGGGAGGCCAAGATGTAGAGGTCCTCTTTCTTGGCAGAAACTCTTTGAAGTAGTCTCCAAGTTGAACTAAAATCTGCCCACCTTGATTTCATTCAGAAAAAAATGTCAAAACTGAGTTATTCCTCAGAACATAACTGGATGCCATCTAGATTGAATGTGAGTTTGGGATTTTTTTTTTTGATGGGATCTGGCTGTCACTTAACTTGAACTAGTAATTCTAACACTGATGTGTTATATATGTTAATTCTGATTGTGGATATTTATTAACCCAAAGCCTGTTTAGATTTGGCCAGTGTCATTCCAAGGCAATCTGAATTCTTCCTTGTCCTCAGTGATGAATGAAAAGCCTGAACTATTTTGTTTTCTTTGTCTATATTTTGAAGCAAATACAGAAGCCCTGGAGCTTCATTTAACTTTTTGGGGAGGTAACAAGAGATGCAGCATGCAAACCAATATTTAAAAGTGGTGAGTGCATCATTGGTCAAACTGGAATTTTTAGTGGAATTCCCGTCTCCTCTCCCCCCTCCCCATAGAGGATTTTTCTATACAAAATCTGTATCTTTTTCAGGGTTTGCACCACAGTAGTTTCCGTTTTAAAAAAGAAGTTCAATATTTGCATCAGCCTTGGAAGTGCAAATTACCAAACTTATTTTAAACAACAACAATTAAAAGGGTCCAATGCTTACTTTATACTATCTTTTCATAGTAATCTTTGAAATTAAAATCTAAAAAATCCTGATTTTAATTATATGCAGGGTATTAAAAAAAAACCTCTCACCTTCTGTTTGTGAAAGGGCTTCCTGAGGGAACAGAGTGGGAGAATAGTGTGTCATTCATGCTGGTGACCGGTCTAGGAGGCCTTGAAAGAAAATAGAAAGTCAAAAAATGTCTTGTTTGTAAACAGGGCATGAAATAAAAAAATTAAACATAAGTGAATGTGATCAGTCAATAATACTGCAGAATGTCCTGCAACTATACTCTTCTTCTACATTAAAAATGCAAAAGTTTAAATTTTATATTTTTTACATACAAGGCTTAATGTTAGAAATACATTCTTTTCAAGTCATCCATGGAAATTTTTTGCAGCTTTCTGTCTTTGCTTTGCTCTCTCTTCTTTGGTAGTTTTCCAAAGAAGCTCACAGAAGTGTTTGATAAATTAGAAGTACTTAGTTTCTGCAAAAGACATTAAGTTATTGGACAGAAAATTTGTCCATTTTTGAATGGCCAAATAGGTCTATTTTGGACTCCTAAACAGACATTCAAAAAGACAAGTACTTATCCTATAAGCCAGTGTTTCAACTTTGACAGATTGAAGATGTGAACTGGGGAATTCTGGAAGTTGAAGTCCACACATTTTCAAGCTGCCCAGGTTGAGAAACACTGGTATAAGTATTTCCATTAAGTGCCAACTCCCTCCAAATTACATCACAGTTCATAAGACATCCACCCAATAGTTATCTGCAGGGAAACTACACAGACAGTGATTCCTGATAATATTGTAATCTTAGCCATGTAGAAGTCAATATATCTCTGACTTCTTTCATATAGCAGACATCCATTACTATAATTTGAGCAAAGTTGGTGAAGACCAGAAATAGGTTATAAATTCTAAATATAAGGAAAGAGCCTATAAATTCCAAATAATTGGAAATATACCTTATTTGTGACTATCAGAAAAAAAAGCTTCAAAATATACTTGAATTAACCATCTGATCTCTTTTATATTTTAAGGCAGTTTATTCATACTGCAAAAATAAAATAAAATAAAAATACGTACTGTAGGTATTACATATAACTGATTAATATGTGCAATAGGAGCTATGAGACAGGCTGGTCTTTAGTTTCTCTTCTTTAGAAAATGTAAATTACCCTTGAAAGACAGACTGTTCAACAGTTTTTATGAGTTTCCCAGCTAGTTCTCGTCTAATAAATAATTTTGCTTCTTCCTCATTAAAATGCTTGAAGGCATAATGCATTACTTACCAGGTGTCTCTTTTGCAGGCAAAATAAAAGTAAGAGAACCTTATTAGTTAAATGCAGTCTTGTCTTTTTAAATAGTGGAGTAATTTATTGTTAATATTCTGAACTTGGAAACAAGTATTTGTAAGGACTGTACTAATTTGCCATGTTGAGGGACAACATAATTGTTCTTGAAATGTAAATATTTCAAATGTATAGCTCAAAACTGAGAACAACTGCACATTTTTGCCATGAGACTAATTTCTATCACTTTAAAGGTAAAGGTCACTGTTCTTCTCGCATATATGTGCTAGTCGCCCCCGACTCTAGGGGGCGGTGCTCATATCAGTTTCAAGGCCGAAGAGCCAGTGTTGTCCGAAGATGTCTCCGTGGTCATGTGGCTGGCATGACTAAACGCCAGAGGTGCACACCAAATATGGTCCCTATTTTTACTTGCATTTTTTACAAGTAAACTGCTTTTGAATTGTTAGGTTGGCAGAAGCTGGGACAAGTAATGGGAGCTCACCCCGTTACGCAGCACTAGGGATTTGAACTGCTGAACTACCAACCTTTCGATCAACAAATTCAGCGTCTTAGCTACTGAGTCACCACGTCCCTTATTTATCACTTAGGAACTTCTAATGGGAGTTTACTTTTCACCTCCTGTGGTCTTCCATATTTTCCCAGAACCATTCCAAAAGATTCCCCAGCTCCCCACACAGATTTGTGAAATATACCGTATATCTTTTACAAAAGCATGTTCTGTTAACACCACCCTCAGAGAGATACATGGAACTGCTTTGTTGTTTCTAAATTGATTATGTGATGTGTATTTATTTATTTATTTAGTCATTAAATTACTATAGCCGCCCATCTCAACCAATGAATTGGGTGACTTATAATTCAAAAAATATATTACAATTAAAAATACTAAAAACATTTTTAAAACAGTAAAAACACTAAAACATTCATATAATATAGATAGGAGCAAGATATTATCATAAGGCGGTGTGCCATAAAATTTTTGATTGTGTTTGTTGCAAAACTTTACAAACATATTGCTCTAGAGCAGGGCTGTCAAGCTCCCGGTCACGGACCGGATGCATCACGTGCTGGCCACGCCCAGTTTAGCAAATGGGAAAAAAGTCCCAATGTGACGCTGTGACACCGTGAATTTGACACTCATGCTCTAGAATCTATTATATTAGTAGATCAGCCCCTCGGTGCATATATTAGTGCAGAAATAGGCAAACATTTGCTTTTCAGATATTTTGAGAAACAAAACCCCACTAACACCAATAATAATAAATATTAGAGAAGCTGTTGTCCCTAACATCATATGGGACAACTGGAGCTAAAAGGTTGCATTTTTCTATCTTTAGAAATTCATATATACCAGGTTTTGTAGAGACTCTGATTAATTTCACACAAAAATCATAACACTATTTTACAGCATTTGTTGGATCAACCTAATTGAGTGTAATTTTTCTATATAGTGCAATGTATTATACTCCTTGAAAAAAGAACAGAACATTTGATACACAATGGATATTAAAAGATATTTCAAAAATTAAGGCATACTTACAAAAAGGAATAAATAATTTAAAATATCAAGGTATCCTCTTCCATACTACAAAGTTTATTTCATGTCAAAACACATAACAGCATTTTCTATTGGCAATAACTACCTGTAAGTGGCATATGGATGTGTATGTATGTACGTACGTATGTATGTAAGTTAAATTACTTCATAACTTATGGTAAATTTGCTGCATTAAAATTAAACTTTATTAAATTAAATTAAAATTTATAGTGACAATTCACAAATGATTTTTTTTTAAATGTAATTTTCAAGCATTTAGTTTTTAAAAATTAGCTGCTGCATTTGTCAGTAAGTGAATTATACATCGGTCAGTAAGTTCCAGAATCATTATACTTATTGTAGCATTAATGCAATTCTGTAAATCGTAATTATTAGGTGATTTCTTTCCATTTAACCTTAAGCAAAGGCAAACAGCATATACGGTAGAACAAAGAGCATGCAAATACTTACACTATATGTGCCAAGTTTAGAGGTTTTTCAGGCTGATCAGGGAACATTGGGTGCAAGGGTTCACGGCTGGAAGCACAGCTTAAAGACTTGCTAAGTGCATTAGTTAACTTCTTAGCAGGAGATTTCTAGGAGAAACAAGAAAGATAAAGGTGATTTGGATAGATAAGGGCTGAATACTGTTACTGCCAGCAGTAGAAGGATAAGAAGATAAAACAAAACCATATTCTGCTGGTTACTACTATCATGCATCAACTCCCTAAATCAATTTATTCTGAGGCTCTCATTGATCTCAGCAGCATATGCTTATAAATCTATCAATGGACCTTAAAGAGGATCTTATTTCACAGAGGGCATTTAGCATAAATATAGATATATTTCCCAATTCACCTATCATCTTGTGTGAAAGAATGCAGAGGACACAAATGAATCCCAAATGAACCATGAAACTTCATTATTCCAAAAGCATAAATCTCTAAATAACTGCTAATGAAAAATCAGATCTGGAAGCTAATCATATTAATGATAAAACAATCAAGAAGAAAACAGAGATACATGAACCACATATTTTTCTTTTCGATGGCCCAGTCATCATTCAGATACATTTCTGCTTTGCAAAGTCGGATATTAATGTCTAAGAAGTGAGAGTTCATAAACATAGCAGAATCAAATATTTCATTCACTGCCCAATGAATGACCAATCTAATTGGTATTGCTAATCAGAGAATCTCAGTCTTTTTCTTTATGATTACAAAATGAGAAGCAACAGCTTCTTATACCACACTTTTTGTACTGCAAACTTTAATTTTTATCTAGTATCTGTAGCACAGGTCCAGGTGCATTTTTCGTGTGGCTATTGCATCCTTTCTAATAATACAACTGTGATCATCTCAGGAACTGGAGAGACAAAGAGGTTTCATTTTCATAATGCTTTCTCTGTCATAGAGTTTAATCTACAACCCAATTATTCTGCAGTTCTTGAATAACTAAAAGCAAATCTTATTGATCTAACAGAATTAACTGCCAGGAATATGGGCATAATGTCTATTACATATAGGTTTGAATCTAATGAATTAGATCAATTTAGCTGTGGCTTGTATGAACACTACAATGGATCACAAATATAATTTCAGATACTTGTGAAAAATGGAGAAAGTCCATATAAATACGTTTCAGTTGAGTATAGAGTTCATGCACTAGACTAGAGTGTATATGAAATATGTGAACTGCTAAGCAGCAGTTAAACAACAGCTGAGTTTATAGCATATATATTTACATCAATATCTAATGGAGTTTTGTAGTAAATCAGTAGTTTTCATAATTCTTTTTACTTCTGAATCCCATCTACACACCATCATTTGGGTACGCATGTATTATTAGTGTAGGTGTATCTTTATGCATGTGTATGTTTGTGTAAATATATATGCAGGTATATATAAAATCTCTTATATATAGCAAACAACAAATAGAAAAACCAACATACTGACTATGTCCTACAAAAAATAATAACTTACTGTGTAAATAGTTTTATAATCCAAGATCCTCCTGCAGCTGTTCTGTCATCCACCTAGTTTAACCTGTTAGACTGCTCAAATCCACACTGATGATAGTAGCCACACCATTCAGTTCTTCCCATTGGACATTTCAATACTGATTGAACCAGGAACCCAGATAGGGCATCTCCATTATAGTAACTTCTAGTTAAACTGGCAACAAAGTCAAGCTTCTTATATGTGATCTTAAAGAAAATGAACTAGTCATTTCTAAATCTCTGACTGCTAAGTTCAAACAGTCTGCAGTGATTTGTGAACCTTCCCTTACCCATGATGTGTATTCTTTCATTTGGTGTTGGTTGCTATGGGAACCACTGGCATGTCCCCTCCAGAAGCAATCTTGACAGAGCTGGTAATTGTGACACTGCTGGCATCGGTAGCGAAATCCCATCATGCTCTCACTATGGCAATAGGAACACTCAACAGGGTGGAAGACTGCAGGGGGAGATATATATTCAAACCAAATAAAAGAATTAATCAGCATACTGTTAAAACTGAAGCTATTAAGAAGTCTTAAAAACATCCTCTTGTGATTATAATTTTCAAAATCAAATTTATTTCCTAAATCATTACAATTTTCTCTCAATGAATCATCTGGTTCTAAGAAGGAAACTACACCAAAAATATGAAAGAAAACATTAGGGGAAGAAATATACTAAGTTCAGCTTGTATAAGCAAGCATAATGATTCCATTTGGGAGATGAGTGCTTTTGGTGTATCATGCCAATTTAACAAAGATAAGAGGAGAAATGCCTATGCTACAGGAATTTAAGCACATTCCAAACCACCCTTTTTTTCAGTTAGGTGGTATCATAAATTAAATTCAGACAAGACAATAGAACTGTAATTAGTAGAAAAACAGTCATGGGGATTTGAATTCAGTATTTCTAGACGGGAGTGCCTGCCCATTGAAAGAGCAATTGGGATCTTTTCAATGTTGCTTGAAGTCTACATGGAATAGTGCCAAGGAATGGCTTTCCATGATTATATCTAGGGCATCAATTAAGCACTCAGAGGTAGTTTCAACTATGTTCTTATCTTGTTTGCATAGTGACTGGACTTTCAGTATATTCTACTGTACATGGAACTAAGCTTAAGTGTACCTGGAGACTTGAACTGAAACAAAGCACAAAAAGTAGGTTGCCAGACAAAGCACAGTATGAGGACTGTATCATACCCTGACACTATCTGCCTATTGTTATTTTCCAGGTATAACTCATGTTAGTTATTTTAAATGTTAGTTTTAATATGTAAAACCTAATTACTTAATATGTAACTTTTTGCAGGGCGTGTCGTGAATCTGTATACTAAAATCTGCATCTCTCTTAAGATGCCATCACTGTCAGCCATAGAAACCTTTCTCCTAAGTTATGTAATGCATTCCATTCAGAGATAGGTCTGGCCCCTCACAGTTCAAATGTTCTGCTTCTTCATTTAAACTGTTGCACTGGTATTTTAATATTTATTTAATGGTTGGCTTTTGTTGGGAATATGTATTGGTAGGTCTCTTGATTGGTCTGTTATGTCAGCAACTAATTAAATTAATCATAAAATTTGTGTTTTGTTTTTAGAAATACGTATTTAGTGTAAATACAGGCTGAAATCTGTCCCCTTTATAATCATATACTCTTGGGAAAGAGCATGTCTACTTCTTTCTTTTCAAGGATTAAACAACTCTTTTAAAAGGACGCAGACAGAAAGTGGTGGGAGAGAAGAATACCTGACAAAGTTTCGTTTAGTATGTTTTTTTTCTTACTTTAAAAAACTCCTACATTGTTGTAATTATGTAATTTCTCTGTCCTCTTCTCTTTCAAAGTTACATTGTTAGACAATTGTTTTTTGAAAGGAAATACACAAAGGGACAGATCCAACAGGTATGCATGTAGCAGCCTGGAGGATGCTTTAAAGTAAGAAAAATATACATTTTGCTCCAAAAAGTAAGCAACTTTCTTTCCCTAATATTGTGGAAGGAATTGAATTTCTTCTACCAGTCATCATGAATGGGACGAGTTAAGGATAGCCAGTAGTTCAGAATTATTATGATTTACATTGCTATTTCAGTTGTTCCTCATGTTTTAGCTACATACCATTCTCAACATTTGCCAATCGGTGTAGAAGTGGCAACCAGACAAGACATTGTGGGGGAGGATCAGACATAAGAGTATCCAAAAAAGCATTCAGTGTAACTTTTTTCTGTTAACATAAACAAAGCAAGAAAAAAACATTAACAAATAATGGAATAAGTTTAGTTTTCTCAGCAGAAAAATATACTGCATTTGTAGATGAGAAAAGCATGCAATTAAATTATAGAACTTCACTTATGATGTTGTTTAAGGTAACTTAAAATCCAGGAGTCCCTTTTAAGAAGACATCACTAATTCAAATATGTTGTGGGTTCACAGCCCAACTATACACCACATAATTGATCAAAAATATAATTCAATAACTTCTGCTATGAATTCCCTCATGGTGTATAATAGCAGCATTCTTTTTCTTTTCAACAGCTGTCAGTGATTGTGTTCCTTTTGTGGAATTCTGCTCCATCAGCCTACTATAAAGGACACAAAAATAATTGCTGCTTCCTTCTGAATGTGCCTTCTGTATTGAGAAGATTTGGTGGGCTCAGAGGTGACTGAAAAGGGGAAGATATGTATATAAAATGTGTATTTTAAGATGTAAGAGTTAGAGAAACAGTTTTACTGAGTAGTTTTGAATCTCCTCTGATGGCCACAATATTGGCTATCTCTATGGAGATTATACTTACACATTTCAGAATATGGTATCATATCAGAAGTTTCATTTCACCAACAATATTTTTCTGAGAATAGTATCAAGATGAGATGTCAAATAATTTGGTTGCAAATAAGGCTACAGAGTTCGAGATTTGCTTAAGGCAAGAAGAAAAAAGGAGGAAAGGATTAATGGATAGGGAGCTCATTTTTCTTATCCAATTATTCATGTACATATGTTTTTCTCTCCGGCAGGAGAGAAGATAAACAAACTTGTTCTGCGGCTTTCATCAAATTCACAGTATCTCACAGGTCCATTTTAGGATATATTTTTTTAAATAGGGAGAGCATTTACATATATTTCATGCCATACCTATATGAAATTCTATTACAGCACTATTCTGGATTGCAAGTGCAAAAGATAGATCCTATTTAAAACTAAATAAAATATAATTGGATTTTGACAATGTATGCCAGTATGAATATGATGAAAAGCAAGAAATGATGAATAACATTTATTTACCTGTTGAGAAAAACAAGACTTTGCAGATTGTTCTGTATAACCAAAAGAAGGACCTTCAAAGACTGCAGTCGGCAGTTTAAGAACTTCTCGCAAAAACATGTCATATTTTCCATACACCATTATCCCACTAGTGTCTGAAATCATTGAGAATATATCTGATGGGAAAAAATGGAAACTTTGAAACAAAAAGCTATGAATTACAGATCTAAATTCTTTAAGCTGAACTGCAAGCATATTCTATGCAGTGGTGACTTACAGCCTCAGTATGTAGCACCACACTGCCATACTGTGGTAAATCACATAGAATTATAAATCACTACTAGAGGTGACCTCAGTGCAAGTATAGAACTATGTTTATTAGGAACAATTAAAAGTACTGGGCAAATAGTCTTCAGGTTCAAAGTTAAAATAATATATTTATTTATTATTAATAAATTATTGTTTATTATAAATAATAATTAACAAAAAATCATTGTTTATGCTCTGGGTATAGTAAAGTTCCACAAATATATATCTTTTATTATTTCTAAAAGGTGGAGGCAGCCAATGTTTATTTTCCGCCAAAAGTGATAGAATGAAAAATGTTACCAAAAGAGGGGGGGGGCATACTTTTAAATAGATATACATAAAAATGATTATAAATCCATTTTCCACTTCATATCTAATGTTTAATTACTTTGTTGTATAATTCAAGATGTATTCATATGACAAGCAGTATAGAAATATATTCATAAAGAAATGGCTAATATAACTAAATCAGAATACCACTTTCAACACTTGTTATCTCTTTTCTCCCTAAGATCCTGCTTGAAGATGTCTTCAAGTCAGAATCTTTTTTGGAGGGGAAGGGGTGACAGTTATTTTAGTAGTTGTTTAGTTTTATTTTTGTTTCGCATAATGTAGCAGCACATGACTATAGTTTTGGTCTCAATGTCTTCTGAAAGTATTATTATTAAATGCATTTTTCATTTTAACCTGTGTATTCCTTGCTTTGCTGAATGATAATATTCTTTAGTTACCAGAATGGTAGCAGTAAACCAGAAGATAGCTGTTTGTAGACTGATAAACATAGAAAGATAGAAAACTAATGGCAAAAAAAGACCTAGTGGTCCATCCAATTTGCTTTTGAGTTTGTTTTTTGTTTGTCAGACGATGATCATGTGCTTATCCCAAGCATGTTTAAACTGACTCAGTACATCTGCTGGATATATTCTGAGTTTCTTCATCTGGTCACAGCAAATAAAGAACTGTTTAAATGTAGAATTAATGACTAAATAGATAGATGACTTTTTTGGTCCCAGGAGGCTTCAGGGAGGCCTACTAGGCCCAAAACAGGGTGTGTGTAGGGGTGGGGGAGGTTGTGCATGGTGGCACGTGCATGCACAGTGGGGTGTTGTGCGTACATTGTATTGTGGGTGTGAACATGCGTGCGCTGTCGTGTGCGTGTGTGCGCTTTCGGCACACATGGACAAAAAAGTTAGCCATCACTGATATAGGGTGATTCTACATCAGACATTAAATTATACTTGTGTATTCTGTTTCTGAATGTTGTAGTGAATGTGTTATTTAAAACCAGTATTTTAATTGGAACTGCAACCCAATTAAGCAAACTTGATTAATCTAATAACCAAATTGGCCTATTTTTCAAAGGTGTTGCTGATTGCTTTTCTTTTTGCTTTTGGACTCAGAGAAAAATCAATCCTGTAAAACAGCGGTCCCCAATCTTTCCAGCTCCATGGAGTGGCAGAGGGCAGTGGTGAGGGGGAAGGGAAGGGTTTTGCATGTGCAGCCTAATCCCACGCATGTGCAAATAGAGCTTTGCATGCTTGCCTAAAGCTTGTGCGGCCTGGTTTCAAACAGGCTGCGGAATGGGAGTTGGGACCCTTGCTATAAAACATTTAACAAATATTTTATAGGTAATTAATATGGAGTCCTCAACTTTTTGTCTTTTAATCAAATTAAAAGTATTAGTTTGGTGATAAGATATTGCATAAGCTGGGGAATCTTTACTCATCTGAGTCACCTGAGTAACTGAGTTTTTTTTTTTTTTACTTCTCAAACGCTGGGGTGGGTGTGGGGAGTGATCCTATGATGCAAATTTTACAGTATTTTCACATTTTTTTAACATTATAAAAACTAGTCAGAAAAATAAATGGCAAATTTGATCAATTGCAACATGATTATTTTTAATTCAAGAATTCTAAAAAGAAGACACAGACATTAGCAATGATGAGAATTTTCTATGAAGTCTATACACAAATTTGTTCAAGAATATTTTTGCTGATTTTGATTGTTATTACATTAAAAACCAAACACATATGGTTCCCTAACAAACTACTTGATCAAAATTCATAGAGAGACTTACATCTTAATTTATCCATAATCTTTCCTCCACAAAGTGTTGCCAAGGCCATTTTGACAGCAAACACAGATATTTTTCCATGTCCTTCTCTATACAAGAAAACATAAAATAATCTTTGCATAGTTGTTGAGTAACAGCATAGATATCTTAGGCTTGCGTTTCTTTTTTCAAATCTGAGGCTATGATTCATAATCAATTGAGAATAAACCCATTTGAAACAATTTGCCTTTTAAAAAGAAATGGAGATTCTTGACTGTCAATTCTTGATTTTTTCCATTTCTCATTTTTCCAGTTTCAGTTTTCCCCTTTATATTTTTTGCATTAATTTGTGAATATTTCTCCAGTCTATGCAAAATTAATACATATGCAAACATTTTTCCATAATAGAATGGATTTTTATATTTTTGCTCATGTATGCATTTTGTTTAATATACTGTATATGCTGTAATCAAGGTGTACAAATTACAAAACTGCAAAATATGCTGAAAGATCATTACATTTCAGTTCAATTATGGGTTTAAGAAATTAACACTGATTTAATTCCTCTTCTGTCCTTGATTCTTTTTTTAAAAATATATATGATTTGCTATGAAGTATTTTGCTGAAGGTAAGAGCCATTTTCAAGTTAAACTTGGGTTTTATGATTTCAGAACTGAGAAATCCGCCACTGCTAATTTTCTATGCATAGCATAGCATGACACCAACAAACAGTTAACTAATTAATTCAGTCTGGAAATTGGCATCTTCAGTTTGAATCTAAACCACAGACGTCAAAAGTGCTTTTATGCAACACACTTTGGTGGATGAAGTATAGACCTCATGACACTTTTATACAATATGAAAGGCTTTGTCGGTATTACCTTTGATTACATTTTTTAGGACTCAGTACGTTGCACAGATCCGTTTGGTTGATTTGTGCTTCAATGTATTGTGCAGCCTCCAAAGGTTTAATTCAGCAATCAGATTCTTGGAGACAAGAACATTAGCTAAATTGTGGGACATTTTCTCTCTTGTTGTAATCCTTGCTTGTTCTAATAAAAACTTCTTGGGACCCTCAAAACCTATGCATTTCTTTATAGCAGTTAGGTTAGTTCTAATCAAAGCACTGCCCATTGTAGACTTCAGATATATTTTTAAAATTCACATATAAGAAATAACTAAATAATAACTTCATTTAGTATCATTTGTTTCCCTGATGACTCTATGGGCATATTCATGTAGTTTCTTGGCAATATACAGAACAGGTTGTGTCAGAGTAAGAATATTCATAAACTGGAATAGATCAGCCAATGAATAGGCATAGCAACTAAGTCTGCCAATTGGGAGCTGAGACGGACTGGAGCCAGGGAGTGTCTTAGTCTGCAGCTTCTGAGTCTGTGCAGAGAATTGAAACTGAAACTAAGCAGTGTGTGCATGCTGTCTGCTCTGCTGAAATGAAACTAACTGTTTTCTCCTGCTTTGTGTTGTAACTGCTACTACGTTGAAGAAGAATCTATATTGGTATTGTAAATACTTCATCTGTTATTATGTATATAAAGAAGTTAATGAATCACGCTGAATCAGTTATCTGTGTGTGCTTCTGGATTTGATTATTGCAAGAAACTCTGACAGGTTGGCCACTGCCTTTTTCTAGGAGCTTCCCCCCCCCCCCCCAACTCCCCTGTCTAGCCTGGAATCTCACAGCCAACTCCTAAGCAGGTCTGAACTGCTTATCTTTTTCAGCCTAGGGTGGTAATTACTTAATGTACAGCACTTTTCTTCATGTAAATTTACTTGGATATTTTTGAGATGAGACGTTTGTTTTACAAGGAAAAGATTTATAAGGAAAGGACTCTGCTTCAGCAGCAAATTCATCTATAAATTTTCCAATGAGTATCTCCAATTCCAGCATGCATTGATCATTGTTTTATGGCAGAGATCAGATACTAAAGAGAAGCATAAGTGTTTTGGGGAGGGATGAATTAAGAAAATGTGTAAATCCTCTATAATCCTCTAGAACTTTGATTTCCAGGGATGAAATATTTTATTTTACAACACTTACTTGAGATTAAATATAATTTGGTATCAGGAAAGGATGAGTTGTGCAGTGATTCAAAGGCTCTCCCCTCAAATCTATTTAATTGGCGACTGTCTGCTTTCAGCGTGAAAGTGTTTATGTGTGTATAGATGTAGATATGCTCATGTATGCTTGGCCCATATGCTGCTATAAACATTGTTAGATGAAAAAAAATGTTAGGACAGCATTGTTACAATTGATTTGCTTCTTTGCCTTATCTCTAATTCCTTAATGAAAGCTGTTACAAATTCCAAGTCTTCTGTCTGGACACTTCAGAACTGCAATTTGCACAATTAAATGAGCTGCTATTCCTGAGCAAACTGGAAACACTCTTATATTCTAGTTCAGTTACTCAGCTAAGAAAAACCTATGTAGCATTTACTGAGCATATTCTACATACTTAACATCAATATTCTTCTTTATTTAAAAAAAATCACTGTTTCACATCTTTCTTGGTTTATTGAACAATAGAAAAATGTATATCATAATAATCTCATTTTCACAGCTATGATTTTGTGAGAGTGACTTGGCAGTGAGCAACAAAGTACGTGTCCAAGCATTTGCAATTAATTGCCTTCCTGTTCTTGTTAGAATCAAAAATTCAGGGTCTGAATACATTAAAAAGACCTTGCCCCCTTACTGTACAGCCTTTCAAAAATCCTGAAGGCCATATTTCTGCAGCCTACTGACAATTTCTCCTTGGGGAGGGGAAGGGAGATGTTTGGATGCAAACATACAGCGCCTCTGCTGCTTTTTCATGTGGAACAGTTGCTTTCCCACCAACTCAGCTGTTTCCATGGTGACTAAGCTGTACTAGTTGATCTGGCTCAGGAAAGTACACAGTACCAAACGAAAGGTCCATCAAATGCACATTGGAGAGGACACAAGAGGGTGATAGGCAAATGGGAAGATAAATAAACTCATCAGAATGTTCTTTAATTGTGTTAATTTCCAACCAGTACATTTTCAAAATAAAATGCAGTTAAAGCAGTAATACAGTGATAGATAATTTGCAACTCGCACAGAACAGAACAGATGCCAGTCAGTCCAGTTTGTAATTCCAGGCTATTCAGATGCTTTTAAGAATGACAGCAGCATACCGATGGATCCTATGTTCAATTACCATAATTTGCATATTCACTCATACCATTCATCTATGGGATGATATTAAGGAAATGCCATTAACATTTTTTAAAAACTGGAACTTTGCATTGTAAGGAAGTAGTAAATAGCATGGATTCCATTGCTTTTTTTCATTTATTTTTGCACAATTCACTTACCAGCTGGGAAGAAAGTAAAATTATTCACAGTTGCAAAGGTAACTGTTGCAAAGGCATGCAGCAAAAAGCATTCGATTCAAATAATAAGCCACTAGTTCATGTTATCACCACAAAATAATTATTTCTGCAGATGTTTATATGATGTTATCCAAAGAAAATGGAAGTTTCCTATTCTGATGTATCAGTTTCAGGTCAAAATAAACATTATATATATATATTCCCATGAGTCTTGTAGTAAAACTATTATAGTGTGTATGTGAGAGAGAGAGGGGGGAGGCATTTTGAAATCAGGATTTGATAAATAATGGACTTGATAAATAATTTCCCAGTCCATTATTTTCTTTGTCAATTCACTGCCAGGCAGAAGTCTTTCCAACTGACTCCTGAATGTGTATTTGCCAATTCTTTGAAGAAAATGAGATTGACAGTAAGATAGGAATGTATAATTTCCAGTTCTGTATAAATTCATCTTTTTTTTTTTGAAATCAGTACTTTGCTCAAGAGTTAATGCTTTCCTATAACAAAGCAAAAAACAAGTATTCATTATTATTATTATTAAAGGAACTTACGGATCAAAAGCTGCCAGCAAAAAGTTGAGCAGTAAACTGATGGATTGCTCGACGTTAATCTGGTGGGTTGTTGGCATACGTTTGTTGAGTTGGTAAAAAATAGTAGACAGCACAGCTTCAAGTCGAGCCACATTCAGCTCTATAGTTGGGTCCAAGTTGTTCAAAGAGTTTTCCCGCAATGCTTCTATAACATTCCAAATGTCCACTAGATGCACTATGTATAAATTCAAAAACAATAGTTAAGTATTGTTTAAGTATTGGACGAAAAAAATCATGATATAGAATTTTTAAATAATATTCATGTATTCACAGAAAACCATAAGAAATGCTAGTCTTTACATAGCTCCTTCATCCAAAAATTTAATTGATAGCTCAAGAACTATAAGATTTATTTTGATATAATATGTAAACTTCAGAAATCTGAGTTATATAGTGATTTTGAACTACACTGAGATGGGAGTCCTTTGGTTCTTGTACTTCTGTCTCATTCCTCTGTGGTTGGAAACTCAGATTATGCAGATTCTTTTGCTCCTGACTATCTTTTGGCTATTCCTTCTGCCTAAATTCTTCTGATCTAATGAAGTTCTCTTGGGCTGACTTTTTTATGATGGATTGATTGCCATATCCTTTTTTGGGATTTTCTGATTTCCCTTGTAGGTACCCTTAGTTCAAGATGTTTTTTGCATTGTTTATTATCTGTATAATGTTTAACTCAGTTCTTAGACATATCCCAGTGAGAGATATTCAGATTCAGTGTAACATAAATACCAGCTTTATAAACATTAGCCTGAAGTAGTAACTGTACATAGTAGAGCTCTTTTAAATTTATGATTAGGAAGCAATTATATTATTTTTACTTTTAATTAAATGTAAATGAAGTGAAATTTCAGTTTTATCTTGGCTCGTCCTATTATTTTTTTTGCTTCCAGGACATCATATTGTGACCTACCATCATATGTGAAATTTTTCCATATGAGAGTTAAATAAGCAGATTACTATATCAGCCACTAGAAACCTTCAGATGATTCCACCCTATTTATTGAAGCCATTAAGTATTTATTTAAAATGTGAAAGCAATGAAAATTCAGGAGGACCTAAAACAATCTAATTGTCTTCTCATCACCAAGAATTGAAGCCTTGCTGACGAAATCTCCTATTACCACAGAAAGGAACTGTGGCAGATGGAGACAAGGAGACAGTATTTTTCAGTTGCAATCCTGGCATCAAATAGAATTAAGGCTTGCTTTTTTATGATTTACAGGAGCTACTCAAGACAGGTTTATTGGTGGCATCATGGTTTATTGATGCCATCTTTATCAATTTTTTTGATATTCCACTGGATGACATATACAGGCATCATTTTGGTTGTTTTTAATTTGAGTTAGTAATGAATTGGATTGGCAGAAATTGATAAGAGAAATGCTCTCTTGCTTCATTTCTGTTCCATGGACCATATAGCCTAATTATATTTTCCTTCTTACAATTTCACATTTTGGAATTCCATTGTCTAATCACAAGTAGCATATCTTGCTTGCATGTTCTTTTAACAACTATAACACTCCTTTTCTTCTGTATCAATTATTAAGCATATCCTTGGACAATCATCATACTAAATTCCTCTCTATCAAATCTAATTGATATTATTCAATTGTTGACTGTATTGTACATAGGTATTATCTTTGCTGCATCCTTCCTAACTAGGAAAGCAATGCCATTTCTTTTTTATTTTTCACATCATGAATAGCATGAATGAGAGTCCAATTCTAGACCAGTTGAATTCTCTGATGCCTAAGATATCCTTTTATAGTTAATTCATTTCATCTTTCACTATATTGAGCTTTCTCATGTTCCATATTGCCACTGTGATCCTATCTTTGCAGCTTCAGATTTTCTTTTCATGTATGGCAACATTAGCAAATGTCCTGATTGTTTTAATCCAGCCATGTTATAAATGGCATTAGTATTCCAAGAGATCCTCAGTACTGCTTCAGTGGCATACTGAATACCATCCAAGCAAAGGAGGACATAATCTTGCACTATACTGACAATCACTTTATCTTGTCTATCCATATGGCTTTCTTTATAAAAAATGTGTGAGTTAAGATTGTCTTCTTGTATGCAGTATGAAGTGATGCATTTGCAGTTATCGTTAAAGTGATCATCCATCTGCAGCATCTCCCTATATTGCTACTCCCTGATACAGATACCTAACTTAAATTAAAACGAAAACTTTCAGTGATGTTATGGAACTTAAGATAGGAGAGAAAGCAGATGTTCAGAGGAAAAGAGCAAGTAATATTTTAAATGTTTTCCAAGTGTTCTGATATAATCATGGAGATATGGCTCACTTTAAGGCTAAAACAAAGGTGACAGAGTAGTTAAAAGAATCAATTCAATATTTTTTTATGATGGAGGAAATCTGCTTTTGCAACAGGTATGCTGTTACAGTCAGTATTGCAAGCTATTAGACTAGTGTTTTCTATATCTCTGAAACCAAAATAAAAGCAGATCAGAATTATATTATTATTATTATTGAGTTACAAATGATAGACTAATTTACATAATATCTAGGAATAAACACATTTTGTTGTATCTGACTCTTTAGAATGAAATTAGGACTGTACTGTATGAGAAATAACTTGTTTCTAGAAGTTGCATGGAACCAAGATTTTGACTGCACATTTAGCAAAAATAGCTTCATCCACAATCTATAGTATTTAGGGTAGCAGGCCTTGGGAGAACACAAGCAGATCACTATTTGAAAGATTTTCCAAATAAAACTTGGTTGTTGTTTGACAGCTAAAACTGCTATAAAACCCTGTAAGGACCAAATTACAATTTTTTTTTAAAAAAAGATTCAGTTCTTCCTCATATGGTCGGAAAGACTGGCTAAAATATGATTAAATGAATCTAATAACAACAATTAATATATTTATACCATGTTGTGGTTGCTCTTAGACTTAATTTTATTTCTTCAAAGGCATATTTGGCCAAATTGCAATAGAGATACAGAGACTGTGAAGTTGCATCAGTAGCTAGTAATAATATTACATTATACTTGGATACATTTTGATGCAGCCATGTGTTGATGCAACACATTAAACTTCTTATTCTCATTCTCTATTCTCTCTTCCCTCTGTGTGTTTTTGAGATGTAGGAAAAAATGAGCAACTTTTAAATTTTGTTATTTATTAAATTTATTTTAGTCTTGCAAATGAAAGCAAATATACATGTCCAAGGATAATATTGCAGGATCCAATCTGAGTTGATCACTGGGACCAGAGGTTTGTTCTTCCAAGCTTTCGGACCTGTGCTACAGCCCATCCTTAGGGAACTTCTCAAACTCCAGAATGTGTGCACTGGGCTGCTCTATGTGTAGTAGTTATGTGGTGCCTGGTTGTATGTGGCTTTTAATTGTTAATTGTGTGGTGTTGATGACCAGCTATTAAGTAGAATCTTACACATTCTCCATTTAGAAATCAGTCTTTACCACTATTTGTGTTCTCCAGTTTTGCTGGACTTCTGCTTGCCTAGTGGAAGATGAAACAATATGTTTGACAACACTAGATTTGGGGAAGTTGACACATTGCTCAACTGTTGGATTCCCAATAGGACACCAGGCTGAAGAATCCACATCTACAGAAACTCACAGGAAACTCACTTTGCACTTATAAGGTACATATAGGGACAGGAAGGTTTCAGCTCAGTTTAGTTTTGAGATGCCACATAACCAATGAGATTTGGCTTTGCGATAGTGGCTGAATCCAAAGCAAAGCCATTCTTCTTGTCCTTTTTTTGACTAGTAAAAAATAGAGGGAAAAATAATTTAATTGTCAACTGACTTATGCTCGCTATAAAGGTGTAAGGATATACACGTAAATACATCTTGGCCCACTATTGCCTTATTTTTTTTTAAGTTTGTTAAAATAGTTTTAGGAAAAATAATATGGTTTAAAGCTATTACTTTGATGCTGACAGTCGTTTTGACACAGTTTGAAATATGCCAAACATTTGGAATTAATCATTTTTTGAAGAACTGTAGATTTATTGAGCATCAGCTGTAGCAAAGAAATATTATTTTACGATGGAAAGACAGTGCCATGCCAGATTTATGATCTTGGGCTGGTGATATATGTTTACTTTCTGCCTGTGAACTGACTTTTTTTAATGCAATAGAAACACTGATCAATATTATTCTGTGTGGTCAGTGTTTAATGTTCAGACAATCAAATCTTTATTGCGATCATGTTTAACTGAGCTGTTTTGTATATGTGTGCATCTGTTTGACTTTTTTTTCCTTTTTCCCTTATCTGTTTTTGGTTTTATTTTTTGAAACCCTTTTTTCTTTGCTCTTATATTAAAGCGAAGAAATATATAGAAAGGTAAGTGAGATAAGAATACCAGAATATTGGCTGTGTGCTAAATAAAAGCTGCGCATGCATCTACAAATGATATATAGCTGCAATCATATTTTATATATCTATTATAGTTCTCTCAACTGCAGCAAAATCTTCAAGGACAAAACAATAAAGCAGTACACAGAAAAGTACTAGATAACCAATAGATGGCTATTTAAAATATCTTCAAATCTGCCTGTCCATAAGAAGCTGTAGAAATATTATAAAAATAAAACTATTAAAAGTATTTTAGAATGACAGGGAAAAACAGAGGAGCTAAATTAGTATTATTTTTGCATCAGTCACTGGAAATTATTAATGTGCCAATTTATTAATTAATAAGATAGCAACTTGCTGTTTTTCCTTCAAATAACTAAGGGAATTTTCCCTCTATTACCCACCTGACTGAGATTTGTTTAACTTTAGTAATATAGCAACCTAATTTAGCCTCATAATTTATTTTTATTTTTTTATTTTATTTTTATTTTATATCCAATTTATATACTGCCCTTCTCCCTGAGGACTCAGGGCGGTGTACAGCCGAATAAAAACATAAATTACAAACATTAAAATAGTATTAAAAGAATATATATAAATTTGGCCCCGTAATTTAAGAACAATAACAAACCCATTTAAAACATTTAAAAAATTAAGAAAAAAAAGTTAAGCCAGCCCGGCTTGCTGAAAAAAGAAGGTTTTAAGGGCACGGCGGAAGGCACCGAGGTCTTGGATTCTCCTTATCTCTGGGGGCAGTTGGTTCCAGAGGGTGGGTGCCCCCACAGAGAAGGCCCTCCCCCTGGGGGTCACTAGCCTACAT